ACAGTGACGGTTGCTGCAGTGCCTGATGTTGCTCAGTAGTGGGCGCTGCCTCTCCGTCAGACGCTGCTGACTTGGGGGTTGATTTCATCAGCAGGCTGTGGTGAACTGCAGCTGCTGAAATAGTGATGTTGAGTCTGTGGGATGTAAAATATATGGAATCTGTGGGGGGGGGGGGAAAACAACATCTGCTTTTACATCACTATTAAGTTCCTGTAATTTTTTTAGCTGCTTTTTTCCCCATTACTTTATCTTTTTGTACAGTCATCTTCAAATCATTGTTGCAGCCTTGAGCAGTGGCACAAATCCAATATATTGAGCTGATGTTCAGTAAACTATCTGTGTAATGCAGCTTGTTTCATTTACCGACTTGGGCGTGAACACAACCCAGACTTGTGAATTGATTCTTCATTTATTTGAATGAAAAAACATCAGAAATCTGGATTACAGCGGTGAGATTTAGTTTCACTGGATCTAAATGCTGCTTTTAGCGTCGCTGAGAGGGAAATCTGACGGAAGCTCGATTTACAAGAGAAATTAGTTCTGATGGGGAGAGCATGAAACCTGCACACATCATGCACTCCTGTACATTTAAACTCTATGATTCTGGACGTGAGAGACAGTTTAGATTCCCAGCTCCCACTCTGACACATGATCCACGGATTTGCTTTCACCGTGTTCAGTCTTGGCACCGGTGATGTTTGCTGTCAAAGTGTCCTTGAGCAACAAGCTTCATACCTGCTCACCGAGGGACTCGGCTGCATAAAGGATAAGAAAGAAAATATGGGGCATGAATATATATCAGCATTTAGGAATGGAGGGGAACAGACCTGTGTTTCTACTAGCAGCCGCCTAGTGGAATTTAAAATAGAGTATTTCATAAATGTATTCATGTGGAGGGGTAGAATTCATCTGCACCCTGTCTGGGGCTGGGGGAAGGAGGAGAGGAGGGGAGGGCATCTACGTAAGCACCGTCACAAGTCTCCCAGTTCCCTTCTTTCCTGTCAGCCAGATCTATTTATAGCCTCTGACGTCACTGCTCTCCTCTGATGGAGCCTCGTCACGGCCGACTACACCGGGCCGTGTGGGGGGGAGGGAGGTAGGGAGGTGGGGGTAGAATGAGGTTGAGCAAGGTTTGTGGTGGCGGCGGCGGTGGTGGTGGTGGGGTGTCATCATTGAGGTAAGCCCTGCAGCTGCAGCCCCGCCCCCCTCCACCGTGTCACACCAATCAGATGCGAGGTGCTGAACGCATCACGGTGCTGGATACAGCCTTCCCTGTCCTCCTCCTCCTCCTCCTCCTGCTCCTCCTCTTCGTCCTCGTCCCTCTCTGTGCTTCTGTGAATTGGGCCTGTTTCATTCAGCATTGATTGCATAATAGCCATCTTTCATTTATCAGGCACTATTATTGCTGCAGCGCCGGAGGCAGCCTAAAAATAGACACACAAGCAACCTTCCACTGCTGGGTCGGTGCTCTGTTTTCTATTGTTATGACCAGAGAAGGAGGACGAGGGGGGCGGCGGCCATGAATGGATCTAATTGATGAAGACACACATTCAATTTGTTAATCATACTGTCCACTTCATAGTGCTTTAAAATCTCATCTCAGTTGTGAAAGATCAGTTGTTTAGGAGATAATAATGTAGATGATTGGTCGGCGAATTTGTGTCAAAAAAGAACCTTGTGGAGTCTGTCAGCACAAGCATGAACAAGTCAGCGTGTCCTTGAGCAAGGCACGGTTCACTGAGGGGATGTGGAGCACAGCGAGCTGGAAGTAGTGCCGAGATCAGCAGAGAAGTTGATGAGCTCTAACCCTCAGCTAACTCGCTCTGTGTGCTCAGACAAAGCTCAAAGTCGAGCTCTCCTCTGTTCCCTCTCTGCTCGTCATGGCTTCAGCGCTCTAATGTGGCTGCGCAGTGTGATATGAAAAAGAGAAAAAAAAGGGGGTAGAAGAGAATCTGTTGAGCGATTGTTGCAGAAACCTGCAGACTGACCTCCTCTTGATTGGAAGGGTTTCAGATTCAGTCGAGTGTGGCTGCGATGCTGTTTGGCTGAAACAAAGTGCCGCAGATACAGATTTTAAAATGTGCAACAGAATTAACAAATAAAATCTGTTTAACATTTTTAGTGTTTGGCTGCTGCGATGGCTGATGGTGCTTTGGGGGGGAGGGGGGTCACGGGCTGCAGCTGTACTGACGTGTCTGAGTTGACGTCATGCAGAGATGGCGAAGGGAACGATGTGTGTGCATCTGATTGCGAAAACCAGTAATCACAAGGTCACCTGTTTAAAGTCGGCGGAGAAAATCTGAATGACGTTTGTTGCTCTGCCGCCGACTGGAAGCGACTTTCTGTGCTTCTTATCACTGCAATTATTGAAACAGTCACATGAATCGTCTTTGTGTGCTCCTCTGTGATTTCAGCTCCCTTGTGTCTGCTGTTAAAGACTTCAGCGTGATCGTCTGGAAATTGATTTTCACCTTTTCTGAAGATGTTTAATCATATTTATCTCAGCCTCGTCTTATCTTTATCTCAGCTGCCTGTTTCTGTTCGTACATCCTCAGCAGCTGCAGGAAGCGTTTGTTATGATGCATAACAAAACTATCTTACAATGCTGTTGTATGCAAAGTATAGCTGGTATTATTGGAAATAAATGATATGAAATTAGCAGCTGTAGCATCAGAAGTCACAGTCGTCATGCTGCTGAGTCAACACACACATTTTTCATTGAATCAGAGGAAATAATGGAATAAAATCAAGAATACAAAGAAATGAAATGGCCCGTCAGTCTGCAGTATGTATTTATTTCTTCTCTTTTCTCTCTCTGTAGTTTTGATGTGGAGAATGGCCTGTCGGTGGGTCGCAGTCCACTGGACTCTCAGACTAGCCCCGGCTCTGGTCTGGTTCTTCAGGCCAACTTCCCGCACAGTCAGCGCCGCGAGTCCTTCCTCTACCGCTCCGACTCCGACTTCGACCTTTCGCCCAAAGCCATGTCCCGCAACTCGTCCACTGCCAGCGACCTGTGAGTATCTGAAGATGTTTCCTGTGTTGTTACAGCAAAGCAGCCTGCAGCCTTTTATGCTGAACACTTGTGACGCTGGATTTTGGGGGAAATTTTGGGGGTTTGCTTCAGCTAGAAGGTTTCTGGTAACAGCTGATGATGGAAGATATAAAAGAGACTTTGACAACTGTGTTTAAAGATGTAAGTGTAAGATTCTGGATCGTAGTCGAAGCGTTTGCCCCGTCACTCATCAGTAGTGAGTCTGCACTGTGAAATATAACTATTTATAATAACAGATGAAAATAAAATAAAATCTACTGTTGTTGAGCCAAATTCAAGTAAAATATTTAAGAAGATTTCTGTTTCTACAAAATATTAAGTACTAAACATGTTAGAACATTTTAAAGTTCTAAACTGAGAGTGTTTTATTTGCATTTTATACCTTAATTCGACCATATTTACCACATTTTCAGCCTCAGGTCACATGGACTGTGTCGCTCCTGCTAAAGCGCAGTTTCTGGGCAAACACTTGAATTTACTGTCATCATAATATTTTTTTGTAGGTACATCCAAGGTCCTATTTACACTCATTAGAATCGGGCTTTAAAGAGGCTTTTGGCAGCACAGCGGGAGTTTGTAAGAGTAAACAGCAGACCAGTCATGGCTCTAGTTCTGGATCATCCAGCTAGTGGGAACCTGGTCTTAGCTCTGAGCTAGTTGGCCGATCCAGTTTGCGTCTGTTCATACAGCTGAAGGTTTCTCCGTGCAGCTAGCAGTCTGTTTGAAGCCTGAGTGTAAATGGGGCCTCGACCACCAATAGCTGTCGCTCCTTTGTTTTGAAGGGAGGAGGGATTGAATCATTGCGAAGTCAGTTGGCTACCTCGGTGAGACAAAGTGTGAAGATTGCTGTGATTTTTCTGTCTCTATCTTTGGGCTGTGCCGTGCTGTCATGAGTCACCAACCCCACCCTGAAGCTTACACGTCACCTTTTCCCGAAAACATGACCTGAATGCTCAACTTCAAAAGCATCACCAGTGCAAAGTTTCTGAAATGGTCTCAGCAAGCATTTGAGTGATGGTGACCTGCTGTCACCCCTTCTTCATTTACCAATTTGATCGTTTCCAGTAGAACGGCTTGTTGTTTCGTCGGCCTTGATTTTACAAAACAATAGTCTTTTCAGCGATGGCGTACGCTGTCATGTGATTGTTATTTGGAATCAAATGTTTGCTGAGCAGCGATGTACTGGCTGACTTTGTACTTTCCACTGGCAGCATGGTTTTACCTTGAAGTCTGAAGGTGTCTGAGGCGCATGCTGTGACCCTAAAGCTTCCAGAGAGCTCCATCTTTTTCGACGGTGGCTCTCCCAGCACCCAGAGCATGAGCACTGCTCCTCATCTGCACATAGTTCTAGTCGTACAAGCACATCTTGGAGGCCTTCAGTGATTGTTGATCCTCATAGAAACTCTGGTCTGATGATGGGTTGTCACTAAATAGTCATAACTTTTAGCTGCTCATGCTACAATACAGTTTTACTGATCGCTTGGATTCATTTTCCTTCTTTTTTGGTAACATAATTACAGCTGTAATTACAGCGAACAGTTTTACTGTATTGAGGCTGAAACTCCTTCATACAGCAAAGTCAAAGAACATAACCAGTTATTTATTTTTTTATTTATGTTTCTTGACATCTAATGAACAAGAATCACAATAAAAAGATGGAAAAGATTGGAAAAAAATATAAAAATTGTAATTTTAGGATTAACCATCTGAACCCCAGGCAGTTTCTAGATTATTATTATTATTATTATTATTATTATTATTATTATTATTATTATTATTATTACTATTTTTCTCTTTTCTCACACTTTCAAAGTCGTGCACCTTAATTAAAACAGTACAGTGATTTCTAGAAATAGGAAAGAACTCCAGAAAGTATTTTGTGCAGTATGACCAAGTTATGATGTGATAAATGATTTAAAAAAAACAACAACAAAAAAACCAAGATGTGTATTTCTTGTATCATTTATTTTACAAAAATAAAAAATAATAAAATAAAATCCACAAGTGCCCACATGTGTTATTTACTCTAGAAGACTAAATATTAACTCTGTAAAGTTCAGACATTTAACTAGTAGCGGTTTCACTTTGTTTTCCTACGTGTCTTGTTTGGAACACAGCCTGCAGGTCAGTGTTGTCACATGACTCTTGTTTGCAGCCAGTCAGTCATGGCATCGTCGCCGTGCCAACAGACACAGAATATTAGATTATGTTTTTACAGAGTTCATGGAGAGCCAACTGTTTAAATGACACATGGAGGATACAATTGCTTTGATGAAATGTCACAATTTTAAGCTGACACCAACTCAAATTTTGGGGTTCAGAGAGCTGATGCTAGTTTGTACACAATAAATCAAACCTCAGTGCTTGCATGCAATTAAAAAAGTATTTCTCTGTTCTGGTAGTATAATGTCTTTATAACATTATACTAATTCTTTTCCATCCAGCTCTCTTTTGCAACAAAAGTTTTCTGAGGTTTAGCATCTGTTTATGCACCTTTGCCTCTAAGATGTATTTGTGCCACTAGTTCAATGCGCTGTCCTCTCCATTTGTCCAGTGTGATATTCAGACTAAGCTCAGCTACCTGCAGAATTCCTGCACAGTCAAATATCCCAATGACAACAACCTCAGTGTTGTCATTATTTATGTGTTTGTCTTGTGAGATTTGAAAATCGTATGGTATGTCCTCAGCCACTTTCTCATGTGTTGTTTTTTCACTAGATGTTTGTTCTTTGGTTTTTGCAGGCATGGAGAAGACATGATAGTGACTCCGTTTGCACAGGTTAGTCGCATTTACGCTCTCAGTGTTGTGTGTCGCTGGTCCTGTAAGAATTAAATTCGACAAGTTAAATGCAGAGTCTCAGCTGAATGCCAACAGTGCTTTGGGGCAAACTGGACACCCGTACAGCAACAGTCTAGAAACTGGGTTTAGCATTCAGGACAGTTTCTTTAACACAGTTTGGTAGAATCACAACTGTTGGTATGAACACTGAATCGTGAAGGAAATGGATCTGATGAGATGCATTTATCCGACTGATAATTGGTCAGAAGGTTAATAAGATACACGTCAACAACCCTTGCATAAGAAGTCGATGAAGACGACGCTTTTTGCTGTCGATAGTGTAAAGAAGTCTCCCTCCACATAGAGTGCATTGATTATTGAATAGTAATAGGAGACTCTTTGCTATACCCAGCTATGACCAACTGAAGAAAACAGCAAGGATTTTAATAAAGACGTTATTTACTGTTATTCCCCTGCAGGTTTATAAAAGTTGCGATCACAAAAGTTTTTACGTTAGAGCCAGATTTGTCACCTGAAACGTGACTTGCTGTTCTTCACTGTATTCAGTCTGCGGCGTTCAGTGTTTAGCACTTCATGTCTAATTGTACAGTTTCGATTCAGACTGAAACAGTGCAGTTGTACGTGTTGGTCTGTACAGATAATCTGCGTGGCTTCTCCGTGGTCCTCATTCACTAGTTTGAAAAATAAGAGATGGATCATGTTTCACAGAAAACACCCACACACATTCTCCTTGTACTGAACAGCTTGTTCTGAGTCTTTATGTTTGTGTGTGTGTGTGTGTGTGTGTGTGTGTCTGTGTGTCCAATTAACACAATCTGTGTACATGTCATATTCCCAAATTAATATCCAGCATTTACTTCTGGCCCACCTGCAGCCTTATATGAAGCTAAATGATTTACCTGAATGGTTTTTAGATATCAGGCAGCGCAGCTTTGACCAACACTCATTTATTTGCAAAAGATCTATTTTAGTCGCAATATGTGTGTCACATCTCTAACTGTTGCAAAACAAGCTGACGGGTGAATCCAACCTCAGAACAAGAACACACGTCAACGCCGTGGGATTTTGAAACTCAAGAGCTTTTACATGCCTGCTCTCTTACATCAGATTTTTGGAAATTAGTAGCACTCAAGTGTCAGTGACATTAAAGCCGTAAAGCCATTCTGGCAACTGCATGCTGTGTCTGCGATTTGTAGAGTAGAGTTTGTAAACCACTTAGATTACATGAATGTTAAGAATCCACATGAGTAGATGCAATTTAAAATCCAGCCTGGGCTGTTTTTTTTCTACTCTTACTGACGTCCAGACTTTTTTTTTTTTTATCCTTTAAATGTCAAAAGATTTCCACCAGGTCTAAAGAACCTGATGATATTTTAAAGAGCTTTTAAAAGGTATTCAACCCAATTTCAAGTTTTCCTCTTTTATTTATTTGCATCATTGAATCTTGGTTAATTCAATCAGGCTTTTTGGATTAAAATGTACAAAAAAGACTCTTTCATATCAAAGTGAAAACATAGGTGAAGCCAATCAGTGCTATAGGTCACACAATTGGCAAAAAAAAAAAAAATCTTAATTTCAAAATTGTGTCTGAAGTGATTGTAGTATTTAAACTTCTGTGTCTGGAAGGTCCAGTCACTGGTGGATCAGTACTCAGTATGTCTGTGCTTCCAGCGGTGCTTCTACACTATATATATATATTTAATTTTTTTAACCTCTTCTCATGAAATTAGTGTGATAATGTGATTTATTCTTGATGGATAAAGTGTATATGAAGAGTTCATTTGCAAAAACAGATAACTTCATCTTCACAAACCTTCAGAAAACCCACTTTTTCATCGTCTACCTGAGACAATATCAATCAAACTTAAGTTATCTCTATTTCTCCTGAGTCAAATCCACTTAACCTCAGTTTGATTGATATGACGTCAAGCAAACAACCAAAATTTTTTTTTTGAAAATCTACAGAAATGGATTTATCTGTTTTTGCAAATGAACTCTTCATATCTTCTCAAAACTTTATTGATATGACAATATACATACAATCCATATTGCATTAGGAATTGAGCCACAATTATCTTTTGCAAACTGTGTATTCAGGCTTAAACTAAACTGTCAGTATTGAACAATAGGATTAAAGGTTTTGCTTAAAATTTTCAACCTTGGTCATATAACAGGAAACACATATTCACACACATATATTACTCTTTCACATGTCACTGATATTGAGTACGGCCACCCCTGACACGGATCAACGCATTAAGACATGGTGGCATACTGTCCACAAGCTTGTTGATGGTGTCAATGTGCAGGACGTCCCACTCTTCAGTCAGATCCTGAAGTCAGAATTGGTTTAACTTGGGTAACTGGGACTCAGTATGTGATCACTACACCTGGTCAAAAGCAGTTACTGATGTGCATAAATAGAATAAAAAGAGGAATGTGTCTGAAAATATCCCAACTTTATGGGTAACAGTGTATAAGTAGGTACAATGGAGGAGAACAGCAGCAGAAGTCATTAGGGTGATAGACGGAGTTCTTCCTTGTCCTGGTATTTAGGGACGCATGTCTCAGGTGTCTCCAGCCAGGCCTATTCATCCTTCTCCTCTCTTTTTCCCATTATAGGTTCTTGCCAGTCTACGAACAGTGAGAAGTAACTTTGCTGTTCTTACACATCTGCAAGATCGTGTGGGAAATAAGTAAGAACAAAAAAACAGACTGGATGACTCACTGCTTCCTGTGTTTGTCATTATTCATCTGTTTCATCTGTTTCTCGTTTCAGGAGGCCGACAAGCAGCAACCAGCCGTCCATGTGCAAGCCATGTCTCGCAGGTCGGTGTTAATATTCCCCTACGACGGGACGATATGAAGTTAAAGCCAAAGAATGAAGCTTGTTCTCTTGAATCACGTGCAAATGATTTCATGTTCTTGTGTTTTTATTAAAAGGGTTGCTTTGTTTTGACCCGTTGGTAAATATGTGTCATGTGCTTCTTGTTGTTTGATTTTAATGCATGAAAACAAAACTTGATGTTAAACTTTCACTTGCTCCATTTTGAACTCATTATCAACCAGGATGGGTGCAACAGGACAAGACAAGCAGGAGTTTGTTTAAGAGGAACACGAGAGCTTTGAATCACTCGCCACATTCTGATGTTTTCATAGCAGTCCCACTTCTGACCTGCAGCATGTGTTTGTCCTTTCAGAGGAGCCCTACCAGAAGCTGGCTGTGGAGACACTGGAAGAGCTGGACTGGTGTCTGGACCAGCTGGAGACGCTGCAAACCAGACACTCAGTCAGCGAGATGGCTTCCAATAAGGTGAGAGGACACCAAACTCAGCTTCACATGTAAACTTAATGGGAGTTGAAACCTGCAGCTGTGTCCAAACATTTCATTGCTGGTCTTAGAGCTGTACATCAATAGTTTTTATTACCAAAAAACAAAAGCCAAAGATGTGTGCATTCAGGGAAACTTATGCATCACCTGTAGATACAACAAGTTTAAAGGTCCTGTATTGTCCCCTTTTTGAGCAAAGTCTCCCATGTCCCCAGAATGAGTCTAATAATTTCTCATTCCAAAATATCACAAAGAGGGTTTATTTTACCATGACTGCATAAACGGTGGTCTAAACAGGTTGTTTCAGTGTCTGTGACTTTATATGCATCAGTGTAAATAAGTGTGTGAGGCCAGGACTTCCTGTTGCTTCTAACTTGTCTCTGAGTGATCACTTTACATGGAAAAGCCTCTGAGGTGAGCGCAGGTTAACGTAGCAGTCACTGTTACATCCTGTGGCCATACAATGAATGGTAGCGTTAGCCATATGAGCTGTAAAATGTGCAAACACTGAGGACTTTCCCATTGGTGACATTGCCGTCAATGATAAAAGCAATACACTGGATCTCCAGTTCCTCAGATGCTGGGAGTTCACAGAGACTCTTTTGTTCATGTTTGCAGCCAACAGCAGAATATTTGGTGAGCTTCACTCATGGCTGAGACATTTTAGAGTCAGCAGCTCTAGAGAGCAAATAAACCTGGCCAACTGTGAGGCATCTGCTCTTTATGAGAGGCTCATCTTGGAAGCAGCAGACAGTGAGGGGGCAAATTCTAACTATTGGTTTGTCAGTTAGAGCGTAGCAGCTCAGCACAGATCTCACTGGCTTGTAAAGGAGGGAGTCCAGCTAGCTGTAGGGGTTACTTGAGAAATGGCAAAAGTCTGGAGCTCATGTATTTTACACCCTCAAGTTTACAACAACCACAAAACACAAGGAAATAGATTATCATCGTATGGGATTAAATCATTTCTGTGTCAGTAGCTGTACCACCGACTAATTCTGAGTCTAATCTTCTCCTCACATTTAGGTTAAATGTAGAATCCATTTTCCTCACTCTGTCACTGTGGTGCAGCGTTACACAGGAAACCTTTGCAAATGTTTCCTGTCGCCAGCGTTCGGACAGCATTTCTCAGCCACGTGCGGGGAAAAAGAATGTGACTTTAGCAGCGTGAACAAAAACCCCAGAGTTCATGAATGGTGCCTTCTTCCGCTGAAAGAGTTAATTAGCATCTCTCCTCTCTGCTTCTCTCCGCTGTCTGGCTGCTACGCTTAAAACCTCCTCCATCCCCCAGTCAGCCAATCAGATCCCTCTCCTCCACCCAGCCCCTGAAAAACAGACGGCTGTGATTGGACACAGAGTGGGGAACAGCATGCGAGGCGGGGGGAGAGGGATTCCTCAAAGCCTCTCCCTCCCTCTCCCTCTCTCCCTCTTTATGTTTCTCATTGACAGTGTGTGACAGTAGTTGGATAAGCGACTGCAGTCACACCCTTCCTCCCCTGATGGTAGATCACATCTCCAGCCTCCCCCACCTCAGCCCACCCCCGCCTTACCCCTCCGACCCCTCCTCCTCTCCAGGACAGCACCTGGGACTGGGGGAACTTTAATTTCCAAACGGACTTCTTTTCACGTTCAGACCGTCCCTGCTCAGCGTGGAGCACAGCTGAGGGGGGCAAATTACAGCAGATCACAAAGCAGGCAAACTTGGACTATAGCTGCCACTGACATCAACATGCGCAGGTTGACATGCCTGCGTCGGCGCCCTGGGTTTGTCTGTGCTGGAGACTCAGACAGGTGAGCGGTGACGGGGAGCGCTGCTGGCTTTCCTTGTTTACAATGGGATCTATTGATCGGCAGTGCAGGCTTTGCAGGGGGCTGAATGCTGAGTGAGCCCGACTGTCGGATCTGACTCAGGACTGGATCTGAACATTGAGAATGTGTGTGTGTGTGTGTGTGTGTGTGTGTGTGTGTGTGTGTTTGAGAGAGTGAAAGACAGAAATTAGGAACAAGAAGACCAGACAAGACATGCATGTTAGAGAGAGCAGTTGTCATGATTTTGTGGTTTATGATCGTAGGAATGCGTTGCTTGCCAGATGTAAACATTAATGCATGTGTGCTGGAAAGCATGAGAGAAAGTACTCCATCATAGAGTTATGCTGGAGAAGCTTCAGGAGGAATACACCAGAAGATAAATAGCAGACACATGCTGTTTGTAGCTGCAGGATGTTGCTGTATGTGCTTGTTGTGCGTCCATGTGTGGGTCACATAGTAGCCGTTTACCCACTGCAGCATCCCTCTCTCACCCAGATCCCCTCCCTCCTCCCTCAGGCACCACGTGCCGAAGCTGTTACATAATCAGTGTGGAAACTACCGCTGCGATAAAATTCAGGGGGAAACACTGAACACTTTTGTTTTAAAAAAAAAACATTTTAGCGTGATGTATCAGCAGTGCTCTATATTCACCACCAGCAGTGCAGATTTCTCTCTGGTGTCTGCCAAAAGACAACTTAGTTAGAGATATTACAGCTTGTCTTCTGGTATTTTTAAAACTTCACAAACATATGTGAATCATTTGGACATTTCCAAGGAATAATTTTGGACCAGAGGCTGTTCAGACAGACAAATGTGATAGAATTATGCCAGAGTCATTCTACAACTGCTGCAGTGCTTTGTTTTCACAGTCACGGAGTTAAAACCACAGCGGGCATCTTGTGTTGTCATAGTTAAGTTGTTTGTACTTTATCTGTGAACTTTTATCAAACAACCAATGAATGATGACCCGTTATGTACCAATTTGGTGCAGCCTGACCAACTTGATATTTTAGATATTTTAGTGCAGATCATTTCATTTACAATGTCGAGCCATACACATGTTTACAATGGTTTACATTCATGTCTATACCTCCATCTAGATTATTGCACAAGCATATGGAGATTTTATCTCTTAGTTCCCTAAAATTGTCTCTGGTCCAGTGATGAGCGCTGTCGCCTCACAGGAGGAAGGTCCTGGGTTTGCAGGTCAACTGGGGTCTTTCCATGTGGAATTTGTAAGTTCCCCATTGTGCCTGCTTCCTCCTACAATCTAAAGATATGAATGGCAGGTTAATTGGTGGTTCTGAACTGGCTGTAGATGTGAGTGTGAGCTGCCTGTCTCTTTGTGTTTGTCCTGCAGTGACTCGGTGTCCTCTCCAGAGTGTACACCGACTCTCGCCCAGTGTCAGCTGGTATAGGCTCCAGTCCCCAGCGACTGTAGGGTAGAGCAGGTCGAGGTGATGGGTGGATGGATATTGCATCTGTCTCTGTGTCTCTCTATCATGATCTCATTGTATGCAATTACAAAAAATAGCCAAAACATATTAGGGGAATTTTCTATTGTCTGTAGAGGTGAGTTCTGTGTTCTGATTTCCAGCATGTTAAGGTGCAAAGAGCAAAATGGAAAATCCCACACGAACACCTCCCAGAAGGCAAATGAGCAACGAAACATTTTGGGAAATCTGTTCATAATTTTTAAAAAGCGCAAAACCTTCCCCGGTGCCCTCATGTGTTTGCAGCTACATAAAGGTATCACAATTACATTTGTTGACGTTCTGCAGTTAGAAAATGCCACACTTTGTCTTTGAGTGTGTCTGCAGTCTACGTGGACTCACTATATTTTGGTCTGTTTGTTTTCTTTCTCTGCACAGTTTAAGAGGATGCTGAACCGCGAGCTGACGCAGCTATCGGAGACGAGCCGCTCAGGGAATCAGGTGTCAGAGTTCATCGCCAGCACCTTCCTAGGTGAGTTTTAACACCTGAAAGAGGAGAGTGAAAGGACACTGGCTGAGTGAAGGGCAAGAGCCTCTGCAGGAAAAGATTCAATATTTAAATCACAAGTGTTTGTAGAAACATGCACCGTTACCGCCGTATGAGACGCATCTGACTAAACCTAGTGGGGTGTAATGACATCGCTGCTATGCATCCTTCACGAAGGTCATAATGTTCAGTTTTTGTTAAAAGTCTTTCATGAAAGTGTTGATTAAACATTTTGGAAGCTGCTGGACTGTACAGCGGTACACAGACAGTGATGATCCTCATTGAAGTGGGATAGACAACAAAATATCCGAACATAGTACCGTTTTGTAAATAACATTTTGCACTATCCTGTCAGTGTGCTGTCTGTGGTGCAGCTCAGCTCTTGAAGAAAGTCATTTGCATAATTGCATCACCTGCCTTTATTGACTGTTCTACTGTCAGTTGTATTATATGACCATCAGACCAGACTACCATTCAGCGTATGAGAGCGTGTTGTGTGTGAGATAGTGTAAGAAATGGAGTAGTTTCTTTGTGTTTTATTGGTGCTATATTAAGAGCCTTTTGTTTGGAGAGAAATATTTAAAAAGAGACTTTTGAAAGTTAACCAAGAAGGAGAGATGGATTTTTAAAATTAAGGATAAAAGGATGAGATAGAAGAAAATATGTGAAATCGAGGGAAGAATGAGAAAAGTATAAATGAAAAAGGATGTTGTTTTTAAAGAAACTGAGTGTAGAAGAGGGAACCTTACAATTAATGTCAAGGATAGAGAGCAGGAGGGAGGAATTGTTAAAGGACAAAAGGATGAAAGGTATTTCTTTCACCAGTGAGAAAATGAAAAGAACATAAAGGAGGGGAAGGAGCAGAGGAGAGGACAGATGGAGAAGGTGTGGATTTTTCCCTCTCTGAAACAGAAGGAGGCGCGGCAGCAGACAGCATTCCCGGGCACATTGTGTGGTGTTGTCGTAGCAACAGGGTGCAATATTATTCGAGGGCGTGTTGCATCAATAGCAGGCTCAGTCTTCAGCAGCCCTTCCGGCAGGATGGTCCAGCCGAACGACGATGGAGCTGTCAGTCGGACGCCGTTTTGATATGAGAGCCTCGGCGTCAAGCCTGGCTGCATTTGGAAATGAACACCATGGTTTTGGGTGTGAGGAAGAGGAGGCACTGTGAGAGAGGTGAGGGAGGCCAGACAGCGCCTCGTGTGACGCTGCCACTCAGGTCGTTGTGCATCCTTACCGTGGCGTGTGCTGGTATCTGTGCTCAGATCTGGATGTTGTTCAAGCAGTCAGTGCTGCCATGCTGATAAAAAAAATAAAAAAAATAACGTGGACGGAAAATCCTGAGGATGATATGTGGACGTGAGGTGAAGCACGCTGCCTGTGATGTCAAAATGGGATCAATATTTCCTCGGTTTGTACAAAAATGGATGAGTCATTTTCAACACAACCGTGTCTGCTGGGACACCACCTTTGTGCCAACAAATCACGTTGAGATCGTGTTGATGATGTCGCTGGGAGCCTTGCTTTGGTGATTTCCATGTTTTTCCTTAATGGATTATTCTCTCCACTGTGGGTTAAAAAAACGTGATGAAGCCTTCAGACCTGCATTTGGAAAAACATGAGAAGCGCTTTGTCATCAAGCTTTAAACAATGCTGTTCACTGGAGAAGCTGATGTTTATTCTTACCCATCATCCTTCGCTTTCTGCTGCTGGTATTCTGCACCTACATGCCATATAATCTGTTGCTGTCATAAAAACACATTGATTACATTTGCATGGCAGGAAATTTGTTGTACTTGATGTCCTAACTCAAGCTGTTTTTAGCTGACATGTTATGTACCTTTTAAGATGAGTGTTGTTTTCATTCTAACTGTGATTCAGGAGCAATGCAAAGTCCAGCTGCTCACAAGGTCATCAACACAGATTCTGACTCCGCTGTGCTAAAAAGAAGCACAAATGCGTTCTTACCTCAATTAGACACTGAACATGGTCTGTCCTCGTGTCTTTGTGTGTGATATTTAGGTGAAATTGTTTTTGGCTGCCAGCGTCTTTATGTGACACCAGCGCTGCTCAGCAAGGTGACACACAGCGCTGCTGGTTGTACTCTGGAAACGCAGACCTGAGAACAGATTTCCTTTCAGCCTGGCTTTATCGCCTCGGCTGAAAGAATGTATGAATTGACTGTTTTCTGATCAGCTGCTGTGAAATGGGTCCAGTTCCTCAGTTTATTTTATCCATACTGGCCTCAGTTATGTGTCAAGACATTTGAGAGGAAGGTTGGCTTCATGTTGTTTCACACATGTGGTTACAGATGGTAAAATGTATAAAATGTGCTAACTCTGTTTAGAGGAGTTGCTGAGTGTTTGTTGTAGTTGTATATGTTAGTAGCGGTTGTAGTGACTGCGGACGTGTCATGTGAAGGGATGGTCGTGCAATGCGGCATTGGTAAAGTGCTCTCTTAAAATTGTTCAGCAACCAGTCGTGGTGCAGTTGTGATAATATTTACAGCAGCAGTATTAAGTTATGTGTGTGTGTGTTTTTTAGTGGCAGATGTAGTATCAGTCGTAGAATTTGTGTTAACTGGTGTATTCACTAGTTAAAATATGTACAGAGCTCGTGTTCGTGGTACTTGCAGCAACAGTGACATTAAAACTGAAGTAGTTGTAGCAGCACCATGATAATAATATACAGACAGGTGACAAATTAAAAGGAAACCCAACATAAGCGTCTTACTAAGTTACTGCTTCACTGCTTCTTGGCATTGATTCTGCCAGACTGTTGAAGAGATGAAATACCATTTTCCCAAAACATCGTCCGTCATGACGTGTTCTGAGGATGGAGGGGGAGAGCACTGTCGAACATTTTGGTTCAAAGTTTTCCACAGGTGTTCAGCTGGGCTGGGATCTGGTGATTGTAAAGGTCGCATGATTCACATCATTTTCATACTCATCAAACCATCAGTGACCCCGTGGGTCTTACAGATGGGTCATTGTTATTTTGAAAGTGTAAACTGCCGTCTGGGACAAATGGACCCAAACCATGCCATAAAAAATGCCCCCAAGAACCAATCGATCGCCTCACTGTGTCAGGTTTTCCTTTAATTTGTCACAGAATGGTTGTATAGTAGCAACAATAGGGAAGTGGGGTGTTAGCAGCCATAGCTATGAGTGCCATTCATAGTCAATGAAATGAAATGAAAAATACTTTATTTATAAATGTAATATATATATATATATATAAAAGCTACTGAAGTGCTTCTCTGAGACATCGTGTATTTTGCTCATATTATTTTAGTTTGCACACTTTCAGAAGACACCCAGTCATCTGTAAAAACTTTCAGACATTATTACCACAAGAGTTGAGGCAAAGATGTCTGACAACACTGGGGACTGCTTCAAGTTGTTTCCCATCTGTGCCGGAAAAAGTTAAGATGAGGGGAGTTCCTAACACCAGCGTAAAAAAGATTGTGTGACGTAGGAAGCAAAGAATGATGCGCACACTTTAAAAATATGACTAGTAGCTCACAGGCGCATCATATGATCGACCTCAGCTAGTGCAGGGTGCAGTCTGCTAATGCTGATTCATGCTTTCTGTCAGCACATAAGCAATAATCAGATCCACAGCATGCATTACACAGAAAAAACAAAAAAACAGGGGGTTTGCTTTAGTTCTGTCAGGAGTTCTTTGGGAATACAAAATACCAGCTTGAGTTACTCCCTCTCATAAGGCAGAAAAAGCAAAGTAATCAAGTGACAGTCAAGTAAAAAGTCTGTCTTTTAAATTGCACAAAGTGGGTGCAGTGAGCGCTTTTGCTTGCACGGCTCATTTGTTCGTGGTTTTCATGAGCAGAACTCGTAAGTAATCTGCATCCACGGTTATAATGAATCACACACCGGTCTGGCATTGACGTTGTGTGTCTGTTCGTTCATGTTGCAGAGAAACAACATGACGTGGAGATCCTGTCCCCGCCTCCGAAGGAGAAGGAGAAGAAGAAGAGGCCGATGTCACAGATCAGTGGTGTGAAAAAGGCCACGCAAAGTCCCAGCTTAGCGCCTGCCTGCATCCCTCGCTTCGGAGTCAACACACCACACGAGAGCATGCTGGCCAAGGTGGGTCCACACACACCGACACAGACAGAAACACACACACACACAGACACGCTGGTCTTTACATGTCCTGTTTTATTTCTCCAGGAAATTGAAGACATCAATCGCTGGGGTCTGGATATATTCAAAATAGCAGAATTTTCTGGAAACCGCCCTCTGACAGTGGTCATGTACTCCGTCTTCCAGGTACGAGATCCCTCAGGTCACCTACATGGAAGAGAAGAAACTAGAAATGTTTGGAATCCAGTTTTTCACAAGAGGATCAGTATCATTAGTTAAGGTGTTAGATTCAATACAACATACAGTAAATGAATCTTATGAAGTTGATCTACTTCTGCAGTACATGTAGTAGTGAGGCCCATCAGGGTGGTCGAAGGCAACTTTTCTGTTCATCAGCCTTCAACACCACACAGAATCATCACATTTTGTTCATGATTTATTCTCATTCGTCTTCACCCTGACAGGAGCGAGACCTTCTGAAAACCTTTAAGGTCCCAATCGACACCTTCATCACCTTCATGATGACCTTAGAGGACCACTACCACGCCGACGTAGCTTATCACAACAACATCCATGCAGCTGACGTGGTGCAGTCCACCCACGTCCTCCTGTCCACCCCTGCTTTAGAGGTGAGCCGAGGAAGACGTTAGCTGTGTAGACAACAGTGAGCTCTGATTGTGATGTGCAGCTATTTAACAGCTCCAGGGCTCCTGTTTTGCAGCAAATCTCTAATCTCGCAGTGGACAGAACGACTGAGTTACTTTTGGTTCTCTTCTTTGAACTTCCCAGGCGGTGTTCACAGACCTGGAGATCATGGCTGCTCTGTTTGCTAGTGCCATCCATGATGTCGACCACCCAGGAGTCACCAACCAGTTCCTTATAAACACCAGTAGGTTCCTCTATGTCTCTGTACTTCGCTGCCACAGTGGACTTTGAATGTACAAGAATCGCATTTGAATAGATGGACGAGATTGTCAGGAAATAGTAACTATAATTTTAGGATTCACTGTCTGAACCCCAGGCTGTTCCTGGGTGTTTCTTTGCTCCTGTATAGTTTAGTTCACTGTGGGTTCATTATAATATAAAGTCCTCTACCTCTGTGGAAACAGCACAACCATGGCTAATAGAGGAGAGAACTCCAACATGTCCTCAGTGCAGTATGAGAACGTTATGATGCCGTAGATCACACAAAAAACAATAACAGCAAAGTTGAATTTGGTTGATAATTTATTTTACATCAATGAACAAACCTGGAAGAAACATGTACAGCATTTTTCTAAGTGTCCCCCAGGGGTTACCAATACCGGACACAGATTATGTGACTCTTTTTAATTAGTTTAAATACTTGTCTCCAAACTAATCTGTGTACACACCGCCTGCAGTTCAGCCAGAAATTTGCTGAGTTTTTGTCATGTAACTTTTAACCACAGCAGATCCACTGACGGCTTCAAAGTTGTGCCGACAAGTACTGAATTTTTAGTTTTTTTTACAAAACCGTAGTGTAAACTGTTTATTTTGTTGTTTATTTACTGTTTATTTTTAAGTGATTTTGATTAAATGTCACAATTTCAAGCTTAGATTTAGTTAATTTCCCAACTGAACCACAAATGAAGGGATCATCGTAAAGATGAAAATCTGACTGTTCGTTCTGTTTTTACGGTTTCTGGCTTCGATGGTGCAATTTTGGTGTAATTTTGACAGTTTCAACATCTGACAAACCTTCAGAACCTCTAAAGTACTTGTTGGATTGAAAACAGTTTGATTTGTGGTGAATTTGTTCTCAACAATAACCAGTAATTAGGTCATTTGCTGACACATCAGTATTGCGTTTGGTTCCCTTTGTACTCAAGCTGATACGAGCTGATCCATCGTTAGCAGTGCTGCAGTCGTTCTGGGTGTAGGTCTGGTTTTCGACACAGGATCTGATTTACAGTAAATTACCACGAGTGTTGATTCCTGTCACTAAATTTGGCACCATGATATCCAGGGTTTGGTTCAAACATTTTCAATCTGCATCTCTCCAGGTTCAGAGCTGGCACTAATGTACAACGATGCGTCAGTCTTGGAGAACCATCACCTCGCTGTGGGCTTCAAACTGCTCCAAGAGGACAACTGTGACATTTTCCAGAACCTTAGCAAGAAACAGAGAGACTCCCTCCGCAAGATGGTGATCGACATGGTGAGAGTGCTGCGCTTTTTATGTCATGTACTGATTCAATTTTTAGTTGGGCTGTCCCTTTAAACTGCAGCGGTTCAGTGATGTTTCAAGCAGTAAAAGGCTGCGGATATTTGACAGAGTTCACGCAGGTCTGTGAAAACGTAGAAATATACATGATGGGCAAATACAGCTTCCCTTTTTCCAGAACAAACAAAAGCAGGGTGCAAGTGTTACATGTGAGTTTTGGTGAGGACACAAAATCCTCCAGATTAAAATGGAAAACCTGTGGACAGTGATCCGGAGTGGTACGGTGCCAAACCACACCCGGACACAGCTCAGGTGTAGCTCTGCACTGCTGCAGTGAAGCTGATAGATGATACAGCAGCGTGTGTTTGCTTTGTCAGCATTCGATTTAGTAACTCAAACACTGCAAGACTATTTCCATCACTTCACTTCCTGCATCCTTTACTGCCTTGTAATCACAGGACTCCGTTGTCTTAAGAAACACACACACATACGTGAAACACTTCAGTGACTGGTTGTGTGTGGTTGTGGTTGTCTGCAGGTGCTGGCCACAGATATGTCCAAACACATGAACTTCTTGGCAGACATGAAGACAATGGTGGAGACCAAGAAGGTGACGAGTTTGGGAGTCCTGCTGCTAGACAACTACTCAGACCGCATCCAGGTTCGACTAACTCATCACAGTACACATGCTAAACACCGTGTAGAAGACATGACGCAACACTTTGGTAGCTGGCCTCACCAATAAGACATTTGCTGCTCATTCAGAATACTGCTACTAGAACACTGATGATCTCCAACAAGAGAGAACACATTACTCCACTTTTTCTCTGAATAGTCCGTGTCCACAATGTGTATGTTGAATGTAAGACTGGAAGGTCAGATCTGTGGGGACTGGTCAGTTAGTGGAGTGCAGGTTTTAAAAAGTAAAAGTTATAGTGCTGCTGAAACCAGCTGCTCTTAGAAGAAATGTAAGTCAAAAACAGTTCTTCTCTCCTCTGATTTTAAATATTTACTTTAGTAGCACTTTGAATAGCCTCTGTGTGTGATGAGATGTCATACAAGTAATTTACAGCATAGTGATGCTGTACAGTCGACGTAACTGATCAACACATATCCACGTACCGAACACACACGTGCAGCCCAGTCTCATGAAAGCATTTTAACACCACTGAACAGAACAGAGTCACATCCTGTATGTGTTATTCAGCATCATTAATCTGAAATCATAGTGAGTCTTTAAATAATTAATACTCAAAATACTCCACGACTAAACAATAAGTAAGTTTTTATATTACAGGTGTTTTCACATTTAACCAGCGAGTGTGTGTGAAGGTGCTGCAGCCTGCTGGACGCATAACAGTCATTACATCTGTTTCACTGAGCTGAATGCTGATAGCACTGATAGCTGGTGAACACTGTGTAAGCAAAACTAAAATGACCGTGGTGTTCACCCTGTCGACTAATCCAGGCAAATCTGTGTTGTTTTGTTTTTTGCATCAGTTTGGTTTGTAGTTTATAATGTGTATTATTTCCAGCTAAACCAAATAATTAACTGTCCCAAGAAAATGTTGCATTTCACATTTTCAGTTTGCCAGAACAGACAACAGGTGAGCTGAGCTGAGCAGTGACGCTGAAAAAGCTCAACCTTCATGAGATCAAACTTCAGAGAAAATACGTCACGTTATTAGATTCACAGATGGTCGTTGCTGAAGCGCCTCATCAGCAAAGATCATTTCAACACAGGATTTTTCTGGGTAATTTTTCTGACTGAGCGTTTCTCCTTCAGGTTCTACAGAACATGGTCCACTGTGCCGACCTGAGCAACCCAACCAAACCGCTGGAGCTTTACCGCCGGTGGACGGACCGCATCATGGTGGAGTTATTCACCCAGGGAGACCGAGAGCGGGACAAGGGCATGGAGATCAGTCCCATGTGTGACAAACACAACGCCTCCATAGAGAAGAGCCAGGTACCACATACCGACAGGCAGCACAGCAAACCGAGATTTACATTTTCTTTTACTTTGATAATATACAGAAAGTTATTTCCGCATTTAGCAGTTTAAAACTAGGGTAAGCAGCCATTTTTATTTATTTTGTTGCCATTACTGGGTGAGAAGTTTATATAAACCTCTTAGCACACCGTAGATCAAGTGGAGGAATGTAGAGAGGAAACCAGACTGCTGCTTGACCTTTTGGTTCTGTTTTTAGTCTTTAGAAAATCTAGCTTGTGACGGAAGCCTCTGGCCAATCCCAGGTGTTTTCAGAGGGGCAGCATTGTTCTTATTGGCTATTTTGCAAATGCAGATACATGTGCATGTTCCTTCAGATGATGGAAAACCCTGCAGGAAACGGTGCTGGCAGTAGCTTCCTACACTGTAAAGCAACCAAGAAAAGGAAAACGCACGTATTAAAAAGGCAGAGAACAAGCTCCAGTATCAATGACGTGTACTCGTAGAACACAGGCAGTAACTACAATATTCCTGGCTTGCTGTTTTTTTTTTTTTTTTTTTTGGACAAGTAACCTGCTAACTGCATTTTCCAGCTTTACCTACATGTGTTGTCGTGGTTGGTGAGGCTGTGTTGATAGATGTATGATGTAAGAAGGTGAAGAGCGGATGGATGGAATGTTTTTCTTATAATTTAGGCTTCAGCTGATTGTCGTGTTCAGTTTCATGTTTGTGTTTATGATCAAGCCGACATCATGTTGAAATACCTCGTCTGGTGGGAAATACTTCAGGACAATAAGGAGAGAGCTGTAGGAGGGCTGGAATTTCACATCCTGGCATTTCTTGTTTGTTTTTTTTTCCTTTCTACAGTTCTGCCTCTTCCTGCTTTAATTGATGCCATTAAACTCAACTTACAGTGGCGAGTGTACAAAGAAACATTGGCACACTGTTTATCTAGTGGGCTGATGTATAAGGACTTTCATATGTAGTGTGACATCAGAATGAAGTGATAAAAAATTTCAAAATTCAAGATTAACTTTATTGTCCCAGGCGTGGGAAATTTGTCTTGGTTCTATTCACCCATGCTGCAGCCAACACAAGCAGAAACAAGCAGGGAAAACACAGTTAATTGATAGAATACATACATACATACATCAGGTAAACATAGAATAACAATGAATATCATAGTCTAATTACATGAGTCCAAAACATGGTGTCTAAAAAAACAACAACAAGACAATTAGAGGTATTAATTAGCCTAATGGAAGCCAGAACAAATGAACTTCCAATTATAATTTATCCATCTCTCCGTTGAAATCCATCCATAATGTCTTTTGTTGTCTCCTTTCCGTTATTTTCTTGACTAGGTGGGGTTCATTGACTACATTGTGCACCCTCTGTGGGAGACCTGGGCGGACTTGGTGCACCCCGATGCTCAGGACATCCTGGACACACTGGAGGACAACAGGGAGTGGTACCAGAGCATGATCCCCCGCAGCCCCTCGCCCTCCAGCCCCGAGGAGCACCTGGCTGAGGTGGGGCCCGGAGGGGGAGATGTGGGAGCAGGAGGGGCCCTCCCTTCAGCGGGGGGAGGAGGAGGAGGAGGAGTAGGGGGAGTAGGGGACAAGTTCCAGTTTGAACTCACTCTGGAGGAAGAGGAGGAGGATGAGGAGGAGGTGGAGTCCGACCTGGAGAGCCCCCAGGAGGAGGAGTCCCAGTCGGGCGGGGAGAGGCACCGGGACTCCTCCTCCCCCTCTCTGTCTCCGGACCCCCGCAGCAGCAGGTACCGCCCCCCCTCGCCTCACCCGTCCCGGAGCCTGAACATGGCCGCCATGTCGGTGCGGAGCCCCCACCCCCACAGGACGCTGGCCTCCCCAGGGCGGGAGGGCACCAACAGGGACAGAGAACTGAGCCAGGAGGGCGACGGAGTGACGTGCCTGCGAATGGGCACGTAACAACCAGCACAACCTGCCCCGCCTGAGAGACACGAGTGCTGAGTGTGTGGAGATGGAGGCAGGGCAAGCCTTTAACCAATAATGTCTGTAAAATCACCACAGTCCCTTTACACTGGAGACAGCCTCTCTGGACAACAGAGGAACGTTCCCCCTCTGTTTTATTTTTATTTTTCAGCAAGAAGAATAGTTTTAGCCTCTCTTTGGGTGCCTGATAGGCCTTCGTGTCCTGTCCTGGTTTGTTGTAGCTTCAGTTTGCGTCCCAGACAAAAAACTGCTGCATTTAAACTGGAAAGACGAGCGGAGCCGAGGCCTGCGCTCTAACAAGAGGCAACAAAGGCGAAGGAAATGTCTTCCTCCAAAATAACTGTGATAATCGGACATGAGTGGCGAATGAGGATCACAGTGGTGTGACAGGGTCTTGGAAATTATTTTGCACCATAGTTTTAGTTTAGGATATGAAATTATTGAGTCCTTGTTGGAATAAGTGCGTATGATTTCTTTGTTTGAGAATGATGTGAGAGATGAATCATTTTACCAAATACCGGATGTAGACGAGCAGCGAGAGAACCGATGGACCTTAACCTCAGGGTATGAAGAGAAACATAAAACTAATGTAGCACAGATGTACTGGGTATCCCCAACCTGCTCCCAGACCCCGAACCGTCCTTCCTGTTTTATTTACCTCCCAGACAGAGACAAAGGAGATTTAGTTTGACCTGCGTTTCTCTACAATTAATTAAAACCCTTTAATAGTGAATTTGGCAACTGAAACAATCAAATAATGTAAACTTAAACCAGCTTGTAGCACCAAACAAATTGAAGAAGACTGTACTGGTCTCACCTGGTGAAAACACAAAGACACCACCTGTATAATTAGTTTAAGTGTTTTACTTCTTCTTCTTCTTTTCTTTTTTTTACCCAAGATGATTTTAAATGGTGTCATTGTTTTTAGGTTTTAATTTTTCGAACCATTCTTTGTTGTACGTTTGCTGGTCTCGACTGTGTTTATGTGCTTTAAAAGCTTCTCTTTTTTGTTTTTTTTAAATCAGGGTGCCTCCGGTCCGCAGTAGCACTTTACTGTTTCTGCCATTCAGCTCTTCTATTCAGTCACACAAAGGGCTTTACCCGCTGTAGGCTGACTGATCACTAAAACGCAGCACGGGACGTTTGCCTGGAGGTCCCAGAAGGCAGGGCAAGAAACCGACCGACCGACCGTGAGTTCACAAACTCAACAGAGGATTTGATGGACTCTGACTGCGTCGCTTCTCGGCCCTCTGGTGGCCAGATGATATTGGAATTATAAGACTCCATCAGCTTTCGTTCGTTTCCACATTTACTACAGTTTGCATCTCAGTTCCTAGAGCTCTAAGTTCAGAGTTTGTGGCACAAAAAACAGATCTAGAAATGAGCCTGATAATCCCTATATTACTAAATATAAACACAACCAGCTCTGTCGACATCAACCCGCTTGACTTCCATGAGGCAGTTTTATGCCTCTGACGTTTTCTGAACAATCTGAGGTTTGAGAATAAATTAAAACAACAAAAACGCTGTGCCTTCTGACGGTGCTGCATCCTGAGGTGACAGCAGCCCTTTTAAATGTACAGTACAAAGAGTCTTGATGTCTCCTTTTAACTGTACCCAGATCTTTACTGTGGCGGAGCTGGTGCTGTGAGCCAGTTTACTGAATCCTGCTGTCAATTTTTATGTCCTCATCTGCAGAGATTTTAGATCTAGATTAAACCTGTGTACATCTGAAGCGGCACTTTGGGATGTTTTTTTTTCCTCCCACCTTAAACCTGAACTGAATTTGAGCCTTGCTAATGAAAGAATAATGCAGGAAATAACCTTTTTTTATTATAATTATTGTCAACAAATCTCATGAAAAGACCAAACACACAATGAACTGGTGCTACCACGAAGTATTGTTTCAGCTCATTCCTTTGTGTCATCGACATCCGTTGTCCAAAAACTACAAAAGCACACCACTGAGCCACACGTTTCTTCATTAGGATTAACATCGGCTCTGTTATTTTTTTAAATCCCATTTGCACCGTGCTGCTGATGTACATACTTTGTAGCTTAACAAATGAATCTGTGACTCAAAACAGGCTCCCAAGAATGAATTATTCATTCCTATTTCAAGAATGTTTGCTGCGATTGAAAATGTCCAGCTGTCACATTGAATTACTTTGCAGAAACGCTAAATTTAGGACCTTAAACAGAATTCACAGACGAACAGACGTATTGTTTGTTTTGGTCCTTTCAGAAGTTTTGTTCACAACAAAGATGATTGTTTGGGAATTGGAATTTTTCCCTCAGTTGACACAAATAGACAGATAAAGATTCATGATTCTAAACTGCTTGATTCCCCCTAAATCATTCTTATAATTCCAAAAAAACGGTGTGTTTTCCTGCCCTGCCGTCGGGTGCTGACGTAGAGATCATGAAGACCTCAGTTTCGAAAGCTGGTGACAGAAATGAATGGCCTGTAGTTCAAAGTAAACAGATTGTGTTCCATCAGGTTTTCAGTCTTAGTTGGTAGATCGTGCTCGACTGGAATAAACGTGTGCCACAAGTGTTGAGAACACACAAACACCTGCCAGCCTACAATGCTGTACATTTTTACACTAGAGATTTTAACCCGATGATTGTATCGAAGTCATTAATTAACTTTATAGTGTTAGTTTTTACAGATGATACATGTAAACAGTATTTAAAGCAGACATTTTAATAGATTTTGTGCAGCTTAGGATCAGTCCGTTCAGCCCTTTTCCTAATCAGATAGCTGAGACTTGAGAATGTGTGTAGTTTCAGGTGTTTCATGACTTTGACTTTCATGTCTTTCTGTACCAAGTACACGTTCGATCTAGAGCAGTGTTTGTCGCCGTCACTGAGGTAGAACGACCAGGACGTGAGCAAGCACTACACAAGATACGATGCTCGTCCTGGTCGGACAGTAGTAGAAACACTAGTCTAACAGTATTTCATTAATTCAGCTAGTAAGCTTTATTGATCAGCCTTTCATGTGATAGGAGAGGTTTGAGCTTAGTGTGAAAGGACCACTGTGCTGTTTTTGAAATGCTGACCCTCAGAACCTTTTTTTTTCTAAACCTTTGCTATGTTTTAAAAGGTTTCTTCACAGGTTAAAAACAAAAAAAGAGGAAAATTGCTCATGTCCAGGCTTTACCGGGCTTAAAAATGCACGTGCAGGAGCTGGAGAGCACTTATTTAGAGTTGATTAAAGGCTGTCATTACTCATCATGTGAGTAGATCTGAGCAGCACAAATGTTTTCTATTAAAGCAATCAAATGGCAGTTGGAGAATTTCAGCCCCGCAGTTTGTTTTTCAAGTTTTACTCGTCACACTTTTTAAACTACCCACGTATGTCTTCGCATGTTGAAAATGTCACGTCAGCCTCCACAGCTTTGTGTTTAGTCGTTTATACGTACACACAAGAAGTGTCAGAATGTCATAGGCTTCTCTTGAGCATCACAGAGGGTTTGGTGTACTTAGCTCAGTTTTTTAACTTTCATAACACATTGTGTCATGGAGATTGCAGCCTCTAAATGTCTGCTCTGTAATGCTGGAACAACAGACACTCCAAACATTTCAATATTTGTGCAGTTTAAATTAAAACAATCACTGCAAAGCTAAAGATTTTTTGGTTCTGGTTAGTCGAGCCAGTGACTGTAACACTGGTTAAATAGCGCTCTCTCTTTCAAGGAAGAAAAAAACATGTCAGATTTTTAATGTGTCCATGTTTAATAAAACAAAGAAGCTAAAAGAAGTTAGACACCAAAACGTTGAAATTATTAGATGTAGTATAAGAATATGAAAAGGCACCATCATCCAACAGTGTCATATGTGTGTATATATATATATATATATATATGTTGCACACTGTTGGAAACCAAAGTCAGTCGTTCCCTCTGTGTTTTTGCTGTGACGCAGTCTGTTGTAAACACCATCTGTACGCTGCTCGGTCGCCCTCCTGCATCACAGCAAGTCATGTGTTTCTACATTTCCAGTTAGTACGGACTAAACTGAACCAGGTTAGAAAGTCGAGGACAAATTAATCCTTTTAAGCTCCTCAAACATTTACTTTTGACACACACAGCAACATGACAACGTCCTTCGTACGAGCTCAGCGTGGCATTTTCATCATGTGGGATGCTTTTAAACATTGACGTCATTTTCTGAAGGATTTCTTGTTTTTTTTCAATCTGAGGACTGACGTTGGCATTACAAATGTAGCTCTGTGGCTCTTCACAGGAAGACATCAGTGCCATACAGTGTTAAATGTGTCGCGAGCAGGAGAGTCCCTGCTTTCGCTCTGTTATTGTGTTGCGCTGATTCCGCCTCCATTACTGTTCATGATGTCTCGTTTTCTCAGCCTCTGTGTCGTGCAAACTTCTATAAAAAAAAAAAAAAAAAAAGTATTTATTCTTCAAAATGTGTCTGTCGAGACAAAGTACTGTAACATAGGACATTTGATTTTATGTTCTGGAGCCTAAAAATCAAGTATACTTTACAAGTATGTATACACCTGCCACTCCAATGTTTTTGTCAAAGAAATTAACTATATTTTTGTTTCGCATTTTAAGCCAAAAGAGTCTCGGGAGTTCAGGGTGTTTTAAGTGAAAGATGCCAATAAACTATATGGAAATTTATAAGCATCTGGCTATGTTTTGTTTATGATATGGATGCCTTGATGTAGGACAACTCTGATTTAATTCAATTTCATATTTAAACCCACAACATACAGGACACGAGGAATTTAATAATATTCTGCTTTGTGACACAAAAACTCAGTCTATGCTGGTGGTGAATATTCTGTGACTAAACATTTTAATATGATTTCATGCAGTTTTCATGCAGGGCCCACAGACATTTAGAAATTAGTTTTGTTGTATTCAGCAAAAGCTTCTGTTCAGTCGGACCGCCGCTCCAGTGCAGGCTGGAGGCTTCACACCCTGTGGACACAAATCACAGAATCACAGGTTCTCAAGTCATGGACAAATGTAAAAATATGGAGTTTAAGTTGGTTTTTTTTCTTTGCTGTGACAACTTCTTAAAAATTCAGCAAGCTATTTTTTCCCCATTACGGACACTTGTGTTGAAAATAGCACGACAGTAACTACAAGACACAAAGCAAGTTCTCACCTTGTACAGCTGACAGACCAACTGGAAAAGGGACAATGTCGCCTTGTCTTCATTCTCTTCTGTGTATTCCTGTAACAAGAATTCACGATTTTAAACCATGTGCACCATTTAGTCAGTGTTACTGTATTGAACTTTTCTCTTCTTTCATCATCTGCCATCAGTCACCAGGTCATATGTTCACCTTCCAATCTGATGGGAGTCATTTAGTTTTAGATTTTGACCCAAATTTCTTTTTTACTTTTCAACTTTACACTCAGCATTTTCCACCCAATTCAGGAATTTTGAAGCTAATGTTGCTATGCAAACAAGTGAACACCCCATAACACCCACAGAGCAGAACACACAACTTGTATTACTTTACTTCTTTGTCATACAACACACAGAGATAGTTCAGAGTTCAACTTGTGCTTTACCCCATTGAGGGTGACCCATGGGACGTGTGTGTGGGCAGGGTTCAGAGCTCTGGTCATGGCAGCGTTCTTGTGCATCAGCTGGTTTCCCAGACTTCCTTCCACGCAGGACTCAACGCTGGACCAGGAGACAGAGGGAGCGTACAGCTGGAGGCACTGAGACGACAACAATTCACATTCAGGTACACAAGAACCAACACAGCGAGTGTGGTTTAATTGAATTTGAAAAAAAATCCTTCATCCAGTGACAGAAACACTGCAGTAACTGTCAACTCTATATGTTGTCCATCGTTTCCTTCAGAAGAGGGTGAGGTACACCAGGAGAGAGAAACATGTCGAAGGTTTATGTCTGTGCAGGTTTCCTGATCAACCAGTAGAAATGTGGCAAAAATGGACACCTGTCTGAATGTACAACCGAGCAAGAGGCCCAGCTACCTTCACTCAGGTTCTGCTCCACACATACACGACTGTACAAGAGTGTTTAGTAGGTACACGAGCACACAGGTTGTTTTTAAATTTACTTGGTCGTTCCAGCATGTTGGAGAACTTCAGTGGATGTATTCTGTCTGTGTCCTCTGTCCCTTCATGTGATCCCAGACAGACTCCATGATGTTGAGATCAGGCCTCTGTGGGTCACACTGTCTGCTGTAGGACTTCTTCAAGCTCATGATAATTCTTTATGACTGTTAGGAGTCACTGTCATGTTGCAGAATGAATCTGGCACCAATTAAATCCCTTCCTGATGGAAAAGCATTACATGACAGTAGGAGTCTAAACATCTAAAGTCCCTAAGAGGTTCTGCACAGCGCTGTTTGCGGTTTACGCATGTTTTATATGACATTTTATCAGTTTCATACTGGGGTCTTGAAGATTTAAAAAGGCATCTAACTTCAATTTCCATGGGAGACTGATGGGATGAACTGAAGCATTACATACTGAGAAGTGCACATAGATGTCTGTATTGTGCGGCATTGCTATAATTTTTTTTAAAAAGATTTTTTGCTTTAAGCAGCATCAATGCAATTTTTGTTTCTATATTTTCATTGGACCACTGATTTGGTAATCAAGATATCGTGACTTGAATACTTTGTGGAGCAACAACATCTTCTTTAAAGCGGCAACAGACAACTTCAACATTTTATAGCCACTGCATTGAACAATCAACATTCATCTTATAATGAATGAGCTATTTGCAGATTCAACCGGCTGCAACTGGATGTGGCCGGTTGCATTTCACCGTTTGGACATGCTTGCCTCAGTTTTCACATGCTAGTAATTTAGTTTAGATCCAGTTAAACTGTTAACTTATTTAAAGCCCATAAAATAGTTTGGGTCGCATCCCATAAAGCTGTAACCACCAGGCCCTGCATATCTAGGATTTCAACAACAACAACAAAAAAGGAAGGAAATTACAACAATTGGAGTAATGACCAAACATATCCAAATAAGGAGAACTGTTGTTTTGTTACTCACAGGCTGTGCAGCACTGAGAACATCTGCAGACGACTCCATGCAGTAGATGATGTGAAATGCAGCCGAGTGTCCCATTAAATGGATGATACAGGCCTAAAGAGGAGGTCAGACAATATGAAATCTTTGCACGTCCAGTGTGACACAAAGCCAAAGGTGTTCACTTGCAAACCTCAATCATGTTTCCTCTGCACTCAGGTTGTCCGTGCTGACAGGTGAAGGGAGAATTTGCAGATGGAATCTCCTACAAGAGAAGGATGAGTGTCAGTTCTTATTAGGATGTTACTGGTTTATAGCAGTCAACGTTTGTCAGACTTTCTACAACAACATCACATCTTCTTTCCATTTCAGAGCTGCTACAGAGGCAGGAACACTGTACCTTAGCGTTCCCATAAGGCACCAGTGTGACGGCCATGATGTCCTGCAGCATCGTCCAGGTGGGGAACAGCTGCTGGGTGAGGAAGACTCTGCAGTCTGGACACATGCTCTCATAATACAGAGCGACGGACACTGGAGGAACAGCCTGGTTTGGCCGAGTGGCATTCACCTCCATACACTGTTTCTGAACCTACGCAGTGGAAAAAGAAACAAGAGCTGTAAATTTAACGGTGAAGCCAAAAATATACTCAAATATAAGCTCATAAAAGACATCATGGTCTTTCTGGTAAGCTTAAACATATGTTCCTTAATAAAGACTGCTGATATACCAACAGCTAAAGCATTTTCTCCCCAGTTTAATGAAAATAAAATGGATTTCAGAGTGAAAGACATGTTCATTTAAAACTGTTCACATTTTTTTCCCCCCTTTTCATAAATTGAATTCTAAGGCCGCCAGTTCGTGTCCCGGTGAGGACACCCGGGATCTTTCTGCATGGAGTTTGCATGTTCTCCACGTGCAGCGTGGGTTCTCTCCGGGTTCTCCGGCTTCCTCCCACAGTCCAGAAACATGTTGAGGTTAATTGGTGATTGTAAATTGTCCGTAGGTGTGAATGTGAGTGTGCTTGGTTGTCTGTCTCTAAGTGTGGCCCTGTGATAGACTGGTTACCTGTCCAGGTGAACCTGCCTTCACCCTGAGTCAGCTGGGATAGACTCCAGCCCCCCCATGACCCTAGTGTATAGATAATGGATGGATGGATAAATTGAATTCTGAATAAAACATACAAATTTGATTAGGATAGACTCTTAAATAGGAGGCATCTTCTTTTTTACCCCCACTGTGACTTCTGGTGACCTGCAGTGGGCATTTTATTTTCGCACATGACAATATACAAAAAAGTGACACTATAGAATTAAATGAAAGGAAATTCATCACTTTCTCTAGTTGCAGCATCACAGTTAACGATATGACTAAAAGGCACAAATGTTTAAAAGGAAAATAGAGTGTGCTCCAGTGTTGGCTTTGTGCATCTTTAAACTGATTAGGGGTTTGTGTGGGCAGCTGGTCACATGAAGAACATGTGGTGTTCAATTTCTGCAGCATGACTTTCATTTAAGACAAACTTTGAACCTCACTGAAAACAACCTTCTGTACTGAGGGACAACAACATGGAATGATGTCATTAATATTAGAGTGACTGACATTAATACATATATCAAAACAAACCTTTTCTCCATTTTTAAGTGCAGCTTTAGAGAATTTAAAGTTTCCTTATACATATTTTAAAAAACAAAACAAAAACAGTGTTTGGTATTGCCAGGAATAATTGATCATCTCACGGTCTACCTAGAATAAAAACTGAAATATTCCCACCGATAATATCGCAGATCACGACATAGTATTTGTCTGAGTTTTCTCACTTGTCTGGCTGACTGTAGATGCAACAACACTTTGAAGAACCAACTAAAAGTCCAGTTACAAACCAGTAAGGGCAAAACTTGTCGTTAAAAAGTAAAAAGAACGGAGAGATACAGGAGTTCCTTCCTGCCAACAGCCATCACTTTAAAAAACAAATCCAACTGACTGAATGATTATTATTGTTGTATATAATATATGTTATATTGATTTAAAAAACAAACAAACAAACAAACAAACAAAAAAGTGAGCTTTTACAAGATTGAATTTCCCTTCTGGGATAAATAAAGTATTTTTCATTCATTTCATTTCATTTTATTCATTAAATTCTAACTTCTACAGCTTGTTAATATCTTGAGTCTTTTTCCAGCTGGACTGATTTTAAACAGAGATAAAATAAAAAAATAAAAGCTGATTAAGAGACTCCAGTGCGTTTCTTCTACTCACCTTACACTCTAACGCTATTTCCAGGGAGCGACACCACTGAGAAGGCGGATAGCGACAGGCCGGTTTGGGATGCGACAGCCCCAAACATGTCCGGTCAGCACAGAGCAGAGAAAACACAGCCAGCAGCCCGGACAGCTTCATGTTGGGTGTCAGCAGAGAGCGTCCACACGGCGGCGAGCAGAGAGGACGGAGAAGACTGAAGCTATTTCCCATCCAGTCCGTCTTATCAGCGCCATCTTCAGATGATCAGCGCCAGGTGTGATTTGACCGCTGCTGCCTTCACGAACCTCGGAAATTCCTGTTTCTGGCTCCGTGAGTGGAAGAGAAACAATCACAAAATAATATCCGGCGACTCAAAACGAACACTGAGTATTTTAATCGCAACGTCCAATAACTTGTGACAAATATGCATACTGACAAGAAAATATGCGAAAGCAATAATAGTCACTGTAAGCTTTTACTGCTCATGAAAGACACAATATTGAGGGCTTACCCTTTGGTGGTCGCACATGAAACAGAATGAAGGATGTTGTCATTCTAACAGACTTACACATACTTGGTCAAATAAAAAAAATTTAAAAAAACATTAATTTCATTTTGAAGCCCGAATTGAACAGACACCTGAAGTTGCCAGTCAGTTGAACAGGAAGGAGAGGACGCCATCTTGGATTGTGAACCCGTCAGGTGGGCTGAATAAGTTTCTCTCTTGTAGTTTCACAAACGTGTGTAGACGTGAACTGTCATGAACAGTGACACACTGACTACACATGTAGCTGTTTATTTTTTTAGTAGCTACCTGGTAAACAACTTTAAGGCCAGTGGTAAACGAGTCACAATGCTGGTAAATAACAGGTTCAACTGAGGCCAGAAATGAAAACGTTTATGAAACCTGAAGGTACAGTCGTGACTCGATGAAAAATAATAACGGTGTCAGATTTAAAGGTTGGTTTCAGACTGTATAAGGGGTTTGCCTTAAGTGTCTAAGATAGTTTGACATCATTACAATGTGGGGGAAAGTGTAAATGCATCCCTCAAAGCTGGAAATTAGGTTTACCTTAACTTTGCCCTTAATTACAGAAAAGTGCTGCAAAGTCCAGCACTCGTGGCTGATTGTACTTCAATCATGTCGCCATGCAGCACTCTGTTTTTGGTAGGAGGTAGAAGATCGGACTCTCTTTACATTGTGCTGTGTTTGGTGTGTTTCTGTTGAGATAAGCAACAGGTTGCTCAACTTGTCATGCTCTCCAACTTCATGCAGTTTGTGGCGTTTCCATCTGTGTGACTCTCTTTCTCCAAACACTGCCGTAGTGTTTCTTGTATGGTTGGCAGCCTTCAGGTGTCTGTTGACTGTGGCTGGGGGATGTTACAGAGATGTGAGCAGAGAAGCAGCAGTTCAAGGTGCAGAGGCAGTGGTACCCAGTAGCAAGTGTTGTGAACTGAGCTAGATGCTTTTGCAGCCACTGCATATGGTCCTGTAGTGAGGCACATACAGCTTCTGTGTTTGTAGTGTGTAGCATAGCAGCATTGTTCTTACATCAGCTTATTGTGCCAATATAGTTCATGGTATTTGTGGTGCACACTGATCTTTACTTTATTAGTCCAGGCCTGTTGTTTTAAAGCAAACACTGTCTTCTACATAGCAATAAAAAAGTACTAAAATAATAAGATGATCAAATAATACTCGGAACAACCCATTAAACTATAATCTCAAATTTATTTAGGATCTGAAAGTGCATACATGAACAGTACTGTTCTGAAGTAGGTAAAGTCAGGTTTAACACCAACAAAAATGTCTGAATCCAGTTTTCTCCAAATATGACTCCTAAAAGGAAATACGAGCTAATTCTGATTGAGGACAACAAGCTGAATGTTATAGCATAATCAATACAGTAAATAAACATTTACAGTAACAGTATTTTCTCACAGCAATAGGCTATTAACTAAGGGCAGCTAAATCCTTTAGATCAAATGAAAACGACAGATCCATACAGCCACAATGGAAAAAATTAAAATCAGTTACAGAAAAATTTGAACAGATACGATGTTAACACGATGCAGAGACAATTAGAGGTATTCGATCAGATGCACAGCTCAAATTCCCTGGATTTCAGATGTTTAAAAAAGTTGATAATGATCGTCTCATTTTACCCGGGATGAAAAGAAATATAAGTGCATGTACTAAAATAGTTTGAAAAGCTTTACTGCTAGATCCCATCATGTTGTGGCGTGGAAGATAGTTGAGAGCGATGGTGCAGCCATTTATGGCACCGGAAAACTTTATAAATGTCTACGGACCAACCTCCCTCCTCTTCTCAGCTCCTACCTACATCAAACTCATTACAGACACCCTTCCTATACTTACTAATCGCCAACATGATACCTAAACTCATACCACACCAAAACTACTTACAGCTCCTAACCTCCACATCAGCCCCTTCTGGACATGCTCTGCTTTCCATTAACTGATCATCATGTCTGAATAAGCTCCCTGGTCACTTTCCTGTTAAAGTCGGGGTGAGAATTGTGCAAGGTCACACCTATTAATACAGATTTTTTTTAAATATTCAACACAAGTCTGAAATGCATTAACAGATGAGCATGCACAAGATTTCTCATGGCAGCATCTCATGCACTATACATCGTTTTCCAGTCTTGTGTGTGTAGCAAGTACTGTGTGCATGCTGTGGCTCTCTCTCAGTGTGTGTCTGAATGGAGCCACGAGGAACTTTAGCGTAAACCTATGATTGAGTGACAGAATGCCGCCACTGAAACAGTTCGGTGAATCCAACAGATAGCATCTGAAAACATCTGCATAACTTAACAATGTTTGCCTTCATACCTAAACGTGACTGTTTACAACCTATTTGCCACACTGAAGGTTGGTCCTTTTAATTCTCCAAAAGCCTGTAAAATAGGCAAAAGTGCAAATGTCTTCGGGCATTCAGTGCAAGCAGTTTCTTGATTAAATATTTGCACATTCTCATTATGGGAGTTAAACGTGGCATCGTTGCCACTAAAACCATCCCCACATCATTACGCTACAAACAGACAAGCTCTCATTTAGTCATTCCTGCAATACCAAGTCTTTCAGTACATCTAGTGAACATCACTAAATATATCTACAAACGTCTTTCTCTAATAGCATCCAATGAGTCGTATTTCTTCAGATTTCCAGCTGTTGTTACTCCACCACACACCTGTTTAATCTTCCATGTCACAAATGCATGCCGTCTAGCGTAAAATTTCAACACACCTTTGAGAATTGCTCAGGAAGAACAAATCATATTTGTTTTAAACCTCCTTAGTTGGAGGAGAGCATGTCAACAAGCAAATTTAAAGACAGAAGTCTCAAAGTCAAAATCTCAGTTGTTCCTTCATTTAGTCATAAACACGGCGTTTGTGGTGTTGAAAAGTCAGCAGGGGAGCGACATGGCTGGTAGCTGGGTTCCTGTTTATTAGTAAATATTGTATTAGCAAAGCTTTTACAACAATCTGTTTGTGTTCTTCTGTTTTTCTTTCAACGTTATATTGTCTTTAGCTGTGTGTAATTTTTTAAACATACAACAGCAAATAGCATCATGGTAATGGTTGTAAAACATTACGCTGAAATTAGTTGGACAAAGAATCAGGTACCAAGATTGTACAACATGACACACAGTTTATATGTGATGCCAGTTATTGTCCTATGAATTTGTTGGTGGTATCTCTATTTTGTTTGTGTTTGCACAGTGATAAAGTTGCAAAAAGAGACACTGACAACAGAATGAGACCAGGTTGTGCACACGTAATTACAAAGATGTCTGACTTCACAGAACTAAATATCACGTGATCACCTCATTAAAGATGCCACACACAAAACATGTGTTCTGTTTTTGTAAGTGCTACAACACATCAATCTCATGAGCAACTTGTCCATATTTACATCGACTACATGTCCACCTGCCTTAGTAACAGAGTGAATGTACATGAAGACACAGTCATAGTATCGCCACCTCACAGGAGATAGTGTGCAAATGCTATGCTTTAAATCTACACCCCACAGAGCAGTGGTCTTGTCTGTTTTGTGCACCTATAACATGTATACCTTTTTGTATACCTGCTACAAAATTTACTGAGATAGGTAGCATTTCATTTTTTAAATTCACAACATTATATAAATGTATATGTTAAGTCATAAACTTAATTTTGCACTCAATCTATTAAGTGTGCAAAAAGTACAAAAAAAAGACATGACCTGGATGACAAGGGACAAACACCTACATTTTGGTTTCACATAGGTTAGAAGTCCTACTACCATGTGGAGGCTGTGGCACACGGTCCACAACGTATGCAGAACTTACTACCGTGCAACACTACATTGCAGACTGATGTGGTTACAAGCACAACAGACCACAACCATTATGAAAGCTTTTGCATTTACTTTGATAAAGAAGTATGACTCATACTGTATGTATGACAAGTGTTCTCAGAGAGGTGCATTGAGGAAAAACTACAGCAATGAGTGCCTAGCACCAATAATAGAGGTAAAGCAAAAAACAAATAATATTAGTAACTGAGAATCACAGAATACGGCTAACCCATTAAAGAAAGGTAGCACAACATATCTTTTGTAGCTGGTGGTGTAATTAAAGTACCAGAACTGGTATCAAAACAGTACCCAGCCGTAATGTCCATATTCTAGCCAGTTGTACGCATTATACCAAGGTAATCTGTTACACAGTGATGGCATGCAAAAAATCAAACATTTACAACTTTTTACTGCCACAAAGCAGGAATCTTGCACAATTTGTCCAACTTCTTTCACGGTAATAAACAGTCCGACAAAACTGACAACTTCAAGTGTACGTATGCAACGACAGTACAGCGTGTGTTTGATCTTTAAGAGAGAGCATTTAAAGTGAGTCATTAAACAGGAAAAAGTAGATACAGGAATAGTAGTCAAATTAGTCTCAAAATGTAAAATAAACTACTCTTATTTGTCTTAAATAAATATATCTTAATTACTGGGCAACCCAAACTGACAATGCTAGATTTAATGTCTACTGTATTTCCCCTATAAAAATAGATTAATAGAATAATTCACTGTAATCCACAAGCACCACTTCATCTCCACTCAGAAATTGCACAATCAAAGCAGTCCCTGGGTCGCAAACCTGCTACCTATCCAGATCCCTCCGGCCCTGGATAGGTCTGAAATGTAAACAGTTTTCGTTTTTGTAAAAGACGCAAAGGTTCCATCACCATTTGAATATACCTCACACTTAAGGAGTAAAAAAAAGAAAAGAAAAAACCTTGTCTTGTGCTGATGTTTACCAACATTTTCAAAAATATAGAATTTTCCAATATCTATAATCTTGTCACATTTTATGGTTATATGTTCTATTTGGTCCACCATAGCTGTAATCATAGCTAACTAACATGCCTGCAAAATTAAAGTAGTAACGATAATGATTTTACTGCTGTTTGGTCGATCATAAGTCCTCGTGTTTTGAAGTAGTAACAGGTCGGCAATAGGGATGTCACAGTACCACACATTTGGAAGTCAGAACTAACCCCACTGAATCATCGTGACTCTTCTTACCAAATTTGATGCCCAAATTTTTTTGGAAAAAAATGTCTTTCTAAATTATTTTTAAGAATTAAATAAAATAACAAAGCCACTACACACACACACATCTAACACATAAATGCACAGTGGTTCAATGACAGACTGAATAGTAGTGACTTAGCCACATTAGCCTAAACAAGCTAACTTTAGCCTCTGTGAAGGTCGTGTGTGGAGCATATCTACAGCATTTTCCCACAAGTCTCAGCAGTCCTATTGCTGTACCAGCCTTGTCTAGTATCTTTAGTGCCAACCGCATTGCAAAACATATTATATTTTCAGAGTTTTGGCATAAACGTAGTAACGCCTTGTCAGTCCTTGTGACATCCCTATTTGAATATGTAAAATTGTGACTCAGGTTTTAAGCCTTTAGTTTTACAGCTTTTAACTGTAAACGTCAGACATATGGCTAATATTGAACTATTATGTAGCTCAAGGCCATTCAAATTATGAGCCTTTGTTCTTGTATTTTTTTCTTTATCAAAAAAACGGATATATAAGCAAATATGCAGCTTTTCAAGCCAAGTGTGATGTAAATTCAGTGTGGCAACTGCCGCGGAAAAAAGGTCTTTTGTAGCACTCATTTGAATTTTAATAAAATAATTCAATATCATATTCTACATGTGATTCTTAAAAGTGATCGGTTGCATGGAAGCGATTACCTTTTATAATAATACTCTTCTGGTGGGTACTCCAGGGTACTTGCGCTGTTGTAACCTTGTATTCAACTAGACACAACCTGTTCAGCTCATGATGGCCGGAACAAAGCATTTAAAGGCACTATTCAGCAATTTCCTACAAAACTATGGACCTACAGTGTAAGCCTGTAATGTCACTCCATATCGAGCTCCAGAGAATTAGCAAAGGTCCCAGATCACTGACTCCACCTTCACTAATCCTCACAAACAAAATCGAAAAATTCAACTAATCAATTTAGAATCTGAACCAGATTGATAACTCGCATTTACTTGAATAACTTGTTTTAGGTAGATGTTCCAAGATTTGCATATAATCAACACACAGAAATACTGTCTGTAATTTTGTGCATGCTTCGTGTTTTGTCTCATTTGTATTGCCCTGGTACAATGAAGCATGATGTGCAGGATGAAGAATGGCATGACTTTACTTGCCATTGACTGCTATCACTCCTGAAAACCCCCAATGTAAAGACCCAAAGGTTTGCAGATGTCAGTAAGAAAACAACATTTCTATTTGTAGTCAACAAAATAGAAACTTTGAACTTATTTCCAATCAGCAATATCAACATGTGAGATCAGTGATGACGTGCATTCTCACAAATCTCTAGCTGTGGTCTTCCTGTCTGGGTAGGGTTGGGATGCAATAGCAGTTTATCACATCTGAATCCAGTATCGTATCGATTTATCAGGTCCAAATCCTTTCAAGTCCGTTATTGATGCTCGTTTTGTTCAGCTTTCATAATTTGCAGGTGGTGAAACTTGTGTTGTAACCAAAAATTCATTTTCAATCTTTGATCTGCTGTTAATTAGCAAGAATCTGGAAAAGCCAGTCGGTTATTCACCAATAACAGTAACTGAGCTTGCTAATGTTCACAACCACCAAGCAGATGATATGAAATGTGTTGTAACATACCTAAATAATAGCTGAAACTTACTGATTTCATCACAGGATTTTTCACAAACTGCTTGTCTTTGCTATCAAAAAATAACAAAGAGGGATTAAAGTATTAATAAGAGGTTCGTTAGCATCGCAGCCAAATAAAACAAGGCTTTTCACCAACCAGGAACAGGATTCAAAATGGAAACTAGCTATGGGAGCCCAGCCCTATGCCTCCGTGTACTTATGTTGTCTTGTTTTGGATAAAGTGCTTGTGTGTCTCCTCAGTGTCTATAATACCCATAATGCACATGTGCAGGGTCGCGTCCCATCCTGAGCTCAGCTTCCCAGAAGCACCTTAAACAATGTTACTGCACCGATTATATTGATTTGATTATATGGAATATACATACTTTGGGGGAATGCAACAAATTCACTTTTTCAAAGTTTAAAAGGTGAATTTGACTTGGAGGGCAAGTAGCTTGTAACAGGTCAGTGGAAAAAATATTTTAGAAGTGGATGAGATGCAACTTAAGCCATGAATGGCCAAATATTGGAGAAGAGGACTTGATACTTCTCAAAGCTTAAAATATTAAGCCTTCAATGATAATTTATTGTGCTTCCCTTTCAGGAAAAATAACGATAAAAAATATGCACTGGACTATTGGATACAGTGGATAACCTACATCAACATTTCTCCACCAGAAAAATATACTCTTCTTATCATACACGAAAGACATGTAGCCATATTATTATTTATGAATTCTATCAATGTGCTCTGATTGTTATTGTTGTGAATGGTTTGCATTCTGTAGTCTGAAGAGTATTCTGAAAGGTGGGTAGTGGCATCCTGTGTAACCCTGATGTCGTTGTTGTAAACTCTTCCAGGGCATCAGATTTTGGCAACAACTTTTTGGAAGCCTGTCGATACTACTCGTGTGGTCGTGGAGCCAAAAATTCAGTTCTACCTTATTCTGCTGCAGAAGATTAAATTCACTGCTGGATTCTGTAAAAGATAAGTACTTAATCCAAATTGTGTTTTGCAAGCTTTATATGCAGATGGCAAGCTAATGGGATTTTTTAACAATAGGAATAATCGGTTTAATAAAAGAAATAAGATTAGAGCAGAGCTCGAGCTTGGCTTTTGACAGCAGAGTAACATACTACTGATTATATTGGTCAGTGCTGTTACGATGGCAACAGCATTAAACAACCCTCTGTGTCTGAAACTAGTGGACAAGCTGGTGCTAGGAGCAAAATATACAACCATTGCATGTAATGGACAAAGGTGACAAAAGGCAGAGTTGTAATCAACCTAATGGTAAAGTGACTAAACTGCTTAAAATCTGTGAACTGTGACTGTTGTTTGTTGTCACTTCATAGCAGTACTGGATTATTAACTACCAAATTTTAGCACTGAGCCTGTTGGTGAAAATTTTCATATGGTGGTAACACTAACCGGTGCTCTGTTTGAGCCTGGAAACAGTGTCCGTTTGGGTGTGTCCTCAGTGCTAATACTGTGAAGCTTTGGGAAAGCGCCATCGGGGTGGTATGCTGGTGTGTCTCAGCTGGGCTGCTGACTGAGAGCAGGCCAGGCCAGGGTTACATTCAGCTGCTGGTTGTGTTGGATCAGGGATGTGTGTCGATAATGGAGTACGAGCTCTCTCAGCGAAGAATACAGGTTGTAGGGCTCAGCAAAGCCATATCCTGTGGACGTCCTGTAGATCACACAGTGTTTCACATCCCCGTCCACACTGCACGAGAGGAAACTTGTTACTGTGTGTATTCAATTAATATTTACAACAAAACAGATAATAATAATGTGGTATCATGTTAGAAATCCCACGTTACAGCAGAGTGGTCAGTTAGGATTCAAGAAGGGCAAAACACACATTTATTTACAGTAAAATAAAATGTTTAAATATCTGAAATATGCCAATGTGAAGGTACTCACACCACAGAGCAGGCAAAAGAGCCACTCTGAGTCTGACTGTCTCTGATTAAAAAGGTCCCATCACGCCGCCCTCTCAGCAACTCCTCTGCCTCCTTTCGTCTCATGCCTCCAACATACCAGCTCCTCTCCTCCTGGTGGGTATCATCTGCTAGGGTGTATGGGCTAGCAGGTTTAAAAACAAGCATTTTATAGCAATAAATAAACTGATGCTTTGCAAAAAACAATTTACACCTACAGTACCCAGTATTGTTGACAGTGTGTGCTACCCCCAGTGATCATGCCAACAAAAAATAGCAGTGCTTTAATGCATTTACGTCATTATATTTTGAGATAATAGATCATTTGACTGTTAATTCATTGTACAGCCCTCCTTACTGTACACAGAACAGATATTTGCATGTCTGCTGGTTTATAAGAGACGCAGGTCCACAGCAGAAGCAGGTTTTTAGGATTTCGGGAACAGCTGGTTATAAGATTATGTTTAAATAAAAACAGCAAAAGCAATTTCTGTAGAATTTTCTGCTGAAATGAAAAATCTGTAGGTTGAGCTGAGCAGGACAAGACAAGGATACTTACTCTTCTTCTTCATTCCTGATACCCAGCCAGTCATTGATCTGGCTCTGCTGAGTGCCTTGCTGAGTGAGCCAGCTGAAATGTGGACAGAACACAGTCAGAGGGCTGCGATGTGTAGATTATTAGCAAATGTGTAATGCATCCTCTGAGTTCTTCTGTGAAGTTCAATTAGGCAACAAAATACTGGATTATACTGAAGGTTTGACTGACAAGATAAAAAAAAAAATCTGGTTTAAAAAGCATTGTTTTAATGGCAGTGATAGTGTTTTGAATATGCAACAGTCAGAAACACAGTATTGTGGAACAGGGACACCTTCTTTTTTAATCCATAATAAAAGCATCATCGGCTCCATCAAACCATGATTTTTAATTTGTTTGCTGTAAAGTAATAGCAGTGTAATATTGCCATTCACAGTTGTTCAAAACCTAAAGAGAACACATCTGCTCTTTTACATTTACTAAAGTCAGCTAAAACAAATAGTCCTCCCATCAGGCTTATGATAAAGGCCCGTACCAAGCATATTGAAGATCCACAGCTGTGGCAACATGGAGGAGAACAGCTGATTGCTTTTTCTATGTTTATAACTCAGCTGTGGCACTGGTATGTGACGGAGTGTTTTGAACTCAAACTTTTATCAGTCAGATTTCATCTGGTGGATCTGAACAGAGTGGCGTTAACATGTCTGATTTGCGCTGGGGTTTGGAACACTATGTGGGAGTCATGCGATATGCACACTGTGTTAGGAGACAATTCTAAGAATGCCATATAGATACCTGCTTTATGAAGCACCCTCAGGAGTGTCACAACACTTGTCATCTTGGAGATGCTGCCATCACTTGCGCTGCTGTATGTCTTGTAAACAAAGATTTCTCTTTGTTTTTCCTTTTAAACCTTTATGTTCACCTGATTTTTTAAAAATTTATTTTGAAACCTTTTCATAATTGTTTCTTTATCTGTAATTATCTGTACAAAAGAGTATTTGGGGCCATAAAATTAAACCAGAATACAAGAAACCTTTCTCTGAAGGGTTAAACTTACAGCAGGTATTGATCTCGGATCTTCCTGAGCTGCACAAGGTCGGGCTTCAGGCTGTTAATTTTCCTGTCGACCTCCATGTGAGCCAGCGCCTTGTTCCTCAGCTCTTCCTCCAACTTCTTTTTGCTGTTGTGGATCTCTTCCACCCTTGACTGCAGTTCATCTGAGTTGCTTTGAATCCTGTAGGCAAGCATACAACTTCAGGAAACACGCCAGTTTCTGCTGATTTGGTGTGAATAATTTTACTGTAATTTTACCACAAAGTGTAAAGAAATAAAATGAATCCATGAAAAAGTGACAACATGGGGAAAGCAAGGGATGGTATTTGGAAGCATACTTGTCAGTTTCTGTATTGCTGTCTAATGTGAGGAACATGTCGATGTATTCTTTGCTGTAGCGTTCTTGTGTTTCACACTCCTCCTCAAAGATACGAATGATTTCGCCGAAAGCTTCGATGGCCGTCCGCTTGCTCTGCAGCTCCTATCAAGTATAGGAAGCAAATCTTTATTTATATATTTAAGGCTTTACAGTCAAGGTTCTGCTGTGGTAAAGCAGGCATACATACATAGCTTTTGCAAATGGGGCCATGGATTCAGTGCTGGTAAAGATTAAAGCAGTAGTAATAAAGTGGATTCAAAACACCCCAGATGTCATGTTAAATAGGCAAACAGGCTTTATGACATATCCAGACATTAAGAGCAAGAATGGTAAGGTCAGGTAATTCAAAACTGTAAATATTGTTACCGTGTGCTGCAACAACTTCTAACTGGCACCCTTGTGTGTCTTTCAGATATGCGTTTTGTTTTACCATTCGGCTACACAATAAACAGTGGAGTGGTGCGGTACCATGGTTACAACTTTTACAGAGACCCAGAGGAATTTCCAGATGTGTACGGGTACATTTCTGTACCTGTGCTGTCAATTGCAAACACAACTGCGCAAGTTTCTGCAATGAAATGTGGCGTTTGCGTCACATTTCATTGCAGAAACTTGCGCACAGAGTACAGGAGCATCTCTCCTTTATTTGGAGTCAGCATTACTACGACTGTGTCACTACGTACAGAATTTTTGCTCCTCTGTTAAGAAGGTGTTCTGGCAGAAGTTATTCAGTTACCAAACAGTGGCAAATTGAAGGAAGTTGCAGCACAGTTTGAGCACAGATGGGGGTTGCCACAGTGAGTAGGTGTGATTGATGGATCACACATCCCCATCCTTGGACCGGTGGAATAGCAGAGTATTAAAACTGCAAGGGCTGGCATTGACCCATCCTACAGGCCGTTGTGGATGGAAGGGGTCTCTTTTGAAATGTTTTTATCAGTGCGACACTTGTCAGGGTCGTGCAGTCTGGTGGATAGAGGTTTGCTAGTCCCTGATGAAACACAGAACATTTGTGGACATGATGCGTGGCACCATGTCCTTGGTGACACAGCCTATCCTCTGGAAAAACTGGCTGACGACAGCTTTCACAGGCACCCCAGCAGCTTGTATGCAACTGCAAAATCAGTAGAGGGTAGTGGTTGGGAATGCATTTGGAAGATTGGAGGGCAGATGTAAGGCGTTTAAATGACTACACAGGGTCAGAAAGACAGTGATACCATGTTGTTTTCTCCACAAGTACAGAGAAGAACTTGGTGCCAATACATTAAATCACCATGATCGGCCACTAAAATCCACCATATAAACACATACAGGTCTAGTAAAGTTTCTAAAAATGACGAGTCAGGTTGCTGCTTACAGAGCTAAAGATGTGTCACATATTTCTTTAAGTGTAGTTCAAAGATTTGTCAAAAATGATGTCTGGCAGCTGTAATAGCCTTTTTCGTTCTGTGTGCACCTGTTGTACATTGATTTGTCCGTCTTTTTTTAAGCAATACCAATCAACTAACTAACCTATGTACTCTTAGTTGTTTGAGATGTTAAGCTTATCAGTGTATAATGGTGAAATTGACAGCCAGCGCTTTCTCAGAGCTGTATCAATAGAGGAATATGGAGCATAGCTACAGACGCACCAGTATTATGTGTCTTTTTACATAACTCTTTTTAAATGGGTGTTTTTTTGCTCCTTGGTGGTCAGATTTAACTTTACCTCCTATTCTGTATTAAAAAGAGGTACTTAAAACAATATTTAGAAATATATACTGACAATAAACATTTTACTAATTTATATCTTTATTTTTCTGATATTTCTAAACAATCCGTTTGTACAGCTACAGGTTTTCAAAAATCAGAACTGTCCACTTTTTGGGGCGTAAAAATTTCCCTAGAACTTAATTTAGACCCTGGTCCCTTTAGTGGAAATGCACTGAGTTCCTCCAAAGGTTTGTAGTCACTGGGGAAAGTTCCTTTGGGAGCATGGCTAATGATTAAAATGCTGCTATACCTGGGAGGTTTGGTTTAACTCCTCAAACAGGCGGTCGTACTCTTTGCTCTTCTCTTTGTATTGATCCTGAAATATCCTCAGTTGTTCTCCAGCTGTATCAATGTCAACTTCCATCACAATCTGCTGCTATACAAACAAAAATGTAAAAGATTTTTAGGTATTTTAAATTTTAAATCCCATAATGCATTTATTCTGATGCACACTAACAACAGATGAGATCCGGGACGTCCACATAAACAACAAACTGCTTCCTTGTTTGTTTTGCCTGTTACTAGTTCTGACACAGACAAAACCACAGATAGGCCAAAAAACTTTCACAAAAACATGACCAGCAATAGCAAACCTCAGCAATTTTTTGTACGTCATAATTACACGTATAAAAAGTCAGCAGAGGGCAACACATTTTGTTGATATATTGTAAAAGGGCACACATTCACAGCTTGAAACCCTTAAAAACTTACCTGCTGGTATCTAGATATTGGATAGAGTAACCGTGTATCCAGTTTAGAGTTGTACTGGGCTAGTGACTTCTTCTGGTAATACTGGATCAGGTCCACCACAGAGGGAAAAGCCAGTGGCTCAGAAAAGCCGTATTTCCCCCCATGATGGAAGATTTTTATGAGTCTGTTGTAGCCATCTTTTCTGAAAAAAGTCAAAGAATTAATTGCGCTAAAGTTACTATTGAAAACATCAAGAACAACAACACCTTCCCTTTACTTCTGGCTGTGTTTGTTTTATGCTGACACCAATGGAATGGAGATTTAATAGAGTTTATCCTCCATTGGAGTCTGTGCTGGATCTGTCCAGCCACAGTGCTTTTACTCTTTCAGAAAGTAAAGCTTTAATTTTCACAGCCCAATATGCAGCGTATGGGCTTGGAGGCCTGCAAGTTAGAGAATCTCGACTTAAAGACTATGAAAAGCTATATAGTAAACGGTTATGTGTATAAAGCATAAGTCAAGTGTAAGGTGTACCAAAGACTGTAGACAGCATTGATTGAAGCTGGAGTGCATCTGTTCCTTCAGACAAATGTGAGATGGATGACTGGAAAAACACGAGTGAAACGCATGTTGTGTAGACAGGGTGTTATGTTGCTGACTGCTGGAGTCTCCGCCAAACTCTAATCAACAAAGCTTTATATCTGAAACCTAGTATGTCTTGATTCAACTAAAATTAGCCAGAAACCACAAAATGTATAAAGTTACTCTCTAAAACCAGTAAAACTAAATTTGGATGTTGAAACCAGGAAAGAATAATTGACCCCTGACCACAGCATGTTCTTCATTTATGACCCACATAGCATTTAAAAACGACACAGACTTCGACGGCTAAAAACTTCAACACATAGAATTGTTATGCTAGGTAAGGGTCTCATATTAAGGCACCCTTTATTCGTTTTGCGTGATATAATTTGACCGTGGTTTGAACACATGATAACAGTCTGTACAACATTTGTGCACACATCAACAAAATCCTGTTGTCAAAATGTAGTTTTTACCAAAACCACAGTGCATAATACTAAAAAATACCTGAGTGTCAGAGTGTATTCCCCCTGAACCCTACTGGAAGCATCTCGGACCAGGAATGTGCCATCAGGAGTGTTTCTCATCATCTCATTTACTTCCTCTCTGGACAATGCAAAAGGACGTAAAGGTCTCAGTCTGAGCAAGACTAATAAATACACATTTATCATTAACAAATTCACTGAAACAACCAAATCATTAAAGTAAAACCTCAAAAACATGCGTAGTATGTAAGAACTGTGGCATCCGTTAGTCTTTGATAAACGTTTGAGACAATTTGAAAGAAAATTAGTTTGAAAGAAATTTGTTATGTTTGACATTTGCAGGTGATTTGAACATTCAGTACCTCGAGATGTTACCCCAGTACCACTCTGCTTCGGACAGCTGGTGGTCATCAGTGCTGGACTCACATGCAGCCATAGCTTTGGTTATATTGTTGTCTGGTTGTAGTTCTGATTGCAAAGATCAAATATATATTACAAAGATTTTGCAAGGCACATATTTTATAGACTATGAATTTGAAAATTTTAGGCCTCAAAGAAATCACGAAAAAATAAAAAGGCTTAACGCTGAGGAAGGAGAACTTTTTAAAATTCATGTAATCAAGTGTTTGCAGTTCAGTGTTTCATTACGTTGCAAAGATTGCTAGGCTCATTGTTTATGAAGAAGCCTTTCTGCTCCCATTAATTTTTGCTCAATATCAAAAAGTAGCTCGGCAAAGCAAGACAGTGTGTATAGTCGCCATCCGGTTGCCCTTCTTTACACACATTATATCCCTGCAGACCAATTGGAAAATATGTAGACATCCTGTGAAGATCTACAGAGCAGTTAATATGTAAAATTTGGGTTTTGGAAAATTACAAAACTGCAGAGGTAGTTGATGAGCCTGAAAGCACAAGGGTGCTGGTATTTTGTATTAAAATGTAGAGTACTACAAAATTTACAATATTTTCTAATACCAGTTGTTGTGTATTTTACCTTAATTTGTAACACAACTCATATGCACCAAAGAATATGTTATAAACAGGACAAAGAAATGTTTGAAAGTACCTCCTTCCTTGGTGACGTTGGTTCTCAGAGCAGGAAACACATCATTGTGATCAGTGTAGGATGAAAGGTCCTGCAGGAACGATGTCAAGGTGTGAGACTGCGCCTCACTGTCGTTTTGGCTCATCTCGGTCTCCAAGAACTCTGAAAGATCAACCGAACAACAACCCAGCGTTACCCACGATGCCCGTTCAGGCCAGCCTGCATGTGTCGATCTGCACTTTGTGGCTGAGCTGCACACACTGCTGGCCTCCCGACAAGACTCTAGAGGGAGATATCGTTGTGTTGCTTAGTCTTGCACCATGTGGGAGAGTCTGTCCAGACTAGTCTGCTGACAGGTGACACTGTCTGACTGCCTAAAATACCAGAACTGGCACTCCTCAACGCTCAGGCACACTCAGCCAGACTCAGCGCTGCGTAGTACTTGACCTCGCCTTGCCTCGCCTAACAAACAACAGCTGTCTACAGCGAGATGCCATGTCGGCCTGAGGTTCTGGAGGCGATGTGCCACTGTGTCTGTTTGTGTTTATTGCCCCTGTATGTGTCAGGGTTAGATTAGCCAAGCAGGGAAAGGTGAAAATCTGTCTGTCAGGCATTTTCTGAGATCATTACACTTATGTGTAAATTGTTTGTGTTTGCCAGTATGCAAACATGCACACGCATGTGGAGGGGATGCATGTGTGGAGGGAGCGGTGGGCTGTTTGCAGTAGATGTAAATCGTCCCTTCAGCGCTTGTAATGGCATGCCTTGAGATACTTTAAATCGCTGCTGCAGACAGAGCCGTATGTTGGAGGAATCATACTTCTGCTGTTGTAAAATTAGAAAGGGGGTAAACTCATTAACCCGGGGCAAACAGTGAAAGCTCTGTCAAGACCTGTCTGGTACTGAAAAACCTAATAAAAGCTCTACATCTAATAAATCCTGAATCTACCAAAATATCCCAGCCCATTAGGCCTTTAAAACCTTGTGATCCAAGCTGCTGCCATTCTTTCAAAGTTTGTTGTTGTCTACAGCTGAATGATGATCATTAGTTAATAATAGGAAATATATCAGCAATTGTAATTGTTAATTGTTCAGGCAAACGTGCTCAACATTGACTAGTTCTAGCTTTTTGTGTGAATTTGTAGTTTTTCTTTGTCTTAGTAAACTATATCTGTTAGGGTTTTGGACTGTCATACAAAACAATTTGACAGTGTCACACTAGGCTGAGAAATTGTGATGGAAATTTAAAAAGTTAACGTTCAACTTTATTGTCATTCCACAGAGTACATTTTGCATATCTTGGCCTGTTAGGAAGCAGGGTTAAGGGCCTTGCTGAAGGAACCACAGTGGCCGCTTGGTGATGCTGGTGCTGGCACCCCTGACCCTCTGATGAGTAGCTCAGAGCCTTAACCAGTGAGCCAATTTACAGACTCGTTGATTGATTGAAAGTTTCCTTGTCTCGTGTTGTTCTCCAATATAGCAGCATGAGAGTGATAATGGAGACACTTGGGACTATTGTTAAAGGCATCCATCTAGTATGTTGGGAAGTTGGTAATTGTAAGATTTAATTTTAATATTCATACAGCAGGAAGAGAACTCTTGATGGTTGTTGTTTGAAGACATCTCAGTGAATTCCCTCATATATCCTACAGCACAAGTGAGCATCAGTTGCTGACGCTGGTACATGATTGATTCAATCAGTCCTGTATGTTATTCATGTTTGCAGCCTGTGTTGACGTGCATTAGGTCCTCCACAACATCAATATCGACCCGTTAGGTTCTCTTGCAACCATGGCTCAGTGTTTTGCACAAGGATCACATACACGTCACCAATTCCATGCTCTGGTTTCCAAGATCCAGTCTAATCACTTTCTACACAATTCTAACAGTAACAGTGCCATCAAGGTGTCAGTCAAACCCATAGCAGATGTTCACAATCTTATAATGCTCCCTAATTGGTGACCTTCTTAAGGTTCCCAATGCTTTTTTATCATAAATATTTGTTTGAATGCAGCAACAAAAAAAGTTTAAAACAAGAAAATAACAGCATACGTGTGTCCTTCAACTCTATTAATCGAATTATAAAGGTGTAGATAACCTCCTCGCACAACCTTTGCTCAAAACAAGCCACACGTACTCTACTATTTTTTTTGTTTTACTCGTGCATGCACAGTTGGCATGCTTGCAGTGCATACAGTCTGTGCAGACACGAAGTTCGGGACTGCATGCAGGCATCCACAAAGCACGGACCTGCAGACATGGGCCGACAACAAGATTAATAACTGGTGAACCCTGATGGACTTGGGTGTGCAGCCTGTGACACAACTGATCTCAGATACACTGGGGCACTGTGTGGGGATATCTGGACGATGTTGCTGGGTTTACTTAATCTTGACTTGCTAACTCTTCGAAAGTTGAAAATTGGATGTCAAGAAATTTTGACGCGTTGACAAGTTTGTCGTTGTCGTTGGCGCATTTTGCCAACTGCTGGCTTGTTATTGGAAAACATGGCACCTGTTACAAAGGAATCTTGACATTTGGTTTGATAGGAGCTAAGTGCTGAGCAGCATACCACAAAGCTTGTGCAATCATGTTTTTAAGAGAAGACCGTTTTAGCCGCCTTAGACTGCCAGTATGTTAGGATTTTGTTGCGTCCTATTAAGACTCGTCACAGCCTCTGTCCCTGCTGTTTCTCAACTACTACAAGCCTGCACATAGTTTGAGACTCTTGGGAAGAGGTTTTTCTATTTATTCACGATTCTTTGCCGAAAACTAGATGAGACAGACCTTTACAGGAAGGGCCTGAGGCTGGAGAGAGACCTGCCCAAGGAAATCAGGTTAGCTGAGTCAGTAACATCTTTGAAACCTCTTTTTCTGAGCTTTATTTGATTTCACTTGGCTGTACTCAGAGAGAACGCGCTTTCCTATGTCACATTAAATGCAGGGGTTGTTTTGGTATATCGCACCAAAAAGGAGACCATGCGACAAAACGAGCACATTTTTTGTGAGGTTGTTTTCTCCTCATTCTCTAATCTGTTTAGTGTAATTACTCAAATGCATCACAGTTTATATTGTCATCAAGTTGTTATCTGTATTGATGTTTAAAAACACTTCATGCAGCACCTTTAATCTTACCTTGATCTGCTGGTGGACGCTCAGGCCTACTATCCATGGATGTGTCTGCCTGCTGTCGTGACTGGTTAAGCAGTGATGACATCATCTCGGGCAAGACAGGATGGGGCTCAGGATTATCCCCCATATGGTTGGTGTTCTCATTGATGACCACAGCCTCATCCCTGAGATGGAGGGATGCTAGCGATGACGTTGGCAAATCAGCTGGCTGGAGCTCGTCGTCCTCTGTCCAGAGCTGAAAACTCTCAGCTGCCATTTTCACAGCACCGACTGAACGCTCCAGCTAGGTTTTATTGAGAAGGTTGAGCAGCAAGATGTTGGTGCCACGATGCAGTTGATCACATACTATCAGCTTACCATTAAACTCATGGCTGAGGATAGAGAGGGCGGCTGTGCAGAGTTCATGGCTGCACAGTGTTGTGGAGGTAGAACATGTTTCTCAGCCTGAACCCCAGTTTTAAGCACATAATACAGCGGAGCGATGGCATTTCCAGTAGATCCTGTGTTTTTTCACTCTTTTATACTTCTATATTCAACTATTGCTGTGCTTCAAAGTCATTCGCTTAAAGGAATTCATACCCGGGAGCTACCCAGAGCAATCACAGTTTGAGCATCCGACTGCCTCTTTCAAACACACTTTGACAGTAGCTGTTGAGCTGTGAACCCGTTGATGAGTGACAGACTGAAGCACAGCTGCCTGTTTTCTTCTTCAAGGTCCTATGCATCACCTCATCTCAGGACATCTGAATCAGAAAAGGCACAAATAGTCCAGAAATCAATCAAAATGTCCTGCACACATCTGGCCAAAAAATGGTGATATGCTTTGATTCACAGCTCTATCCCTGGTGATGGTATGTTATTATCATATACTGCTGTTTGGGGCAGTTAAAACTTTAATTACTGCCCCTCATGCTCCAAACTTGCTGCACAGTGTGATGCTGTAATGTCAACGCAAGTGTAACAGCAAAAAACTTGGACATATTTATGTTCGCTAAATGACAAAGTAAAATTAAAATTGATCCCCAAATAAACTAGTTAATCAGATGTGATACGTAATTTTGGAATTAAATCTTGGACTGAACCCATTCATAATCATTGCATAATTAGCCCTAGGAAGATTGATGTGATAGTTTATAACATGACATCATGCACATTTGTCAATAGTTTTTTCTCCATATAATTCACACTATGTTATCTGTACTTGTGTGAGAGCGTTTGAGGCAAATTGGCACATAACAATACAGGACTGCTTCATGGCACGATCGCATGTTTACATTTTTGGTGTGTTAATGTGATGAAGTATCTTAAGACAGCAATATCTGTCAGGTTCTCTCTTTTTTTTTTAAATCTCTCAATTGATTTGCCCCCAAAAATGTGAGTACATACCCGCTTAAAAAATCGTTAAATTGATAAATCACAAATCAGCAGCTGTTTTGATCATCAGTGCATCATCTTGAGTAAGTATTCAAGCATTTTCTGGTTCCAGCTTCTCAAATGCAAGATTAATTAGCTTTTATTAGTCTTACATTATTGAAATGGAATATCTTTGGCTTTTGGGCCGTTGATCAAACCAGTAATGACATTTGAAGACTGAGAAATTTGGATAAATGTTTAAGAAAATGTTGTTCATCTTATGGAAAAAAAAAAAAAAAGCTAAATGAGTCAATACAAATAAATAATAATCAAACAATTGATAGTTACAGCCCTAATTGCCATATCAGTTTAAATATACCAAAAAGACCTTATCACTGTCACCCACTCATACTGTTAACAGCGATGGTCAGATCAGGAGGAGCCGGTTAAATATAGACCAGGCTGTAAGCTGCCGAATCCCGACTGAGACCATAACGATACAGTCACAGGCCAATTTGTATAGTTTGGGTAAAACTTGTGAGAAATCCCCTGCCCTAAATAAAATAATCGTGAAGACATCTATCGGAAAAGAGCTCCTTACCAAGTCCTCGGACGTGGTGAGAAAATAGGTTCATTTGGTATATCTGCTATTTGTGCAATAGACAAGCTCCAGTGGAATAACTGGCAGCATGTAGAAGCAGGTAATTTGTTAAAATGTTAATGAGGCAGGATAAACATTCGTCCCGTCTCCAAAAACATGCAACAGCAGCATCGACAGCATTTCATGCAGTGGATAACGAAACGGACGTCTGCATTTCTAGAAGAAATCACCACTGAAAATGACACCTGAAGTGTTTTATATTACCCAAAATATACTTATTTTTACTCATTTAGCATCACTCTTTAAAATAAAGGATAAACATACCTGAATCCAACGTCCAAAAGAATACAGAATATTCAGGATTTTGCTTTTTGGGAAAGCCAGGTGAACAGTTTTTTTATACAGCTGTACGGTATTATATCATGAAACTCATTACAGGGTAAAGAATTCAGGGGGGCTGCAGCTAAATCCTCCTCCTCTCCCAAGCGACTGGGGATTAGTCAGCGGTTTATTATTATTCTGCTATATTCTTTACAATGTGACATCTTATTGAAGGGATTTGAGGTCAGGATATCACAGAGTTGCTCTTCGAGAGGAAATGACCATAATTTTGTGCTCATGAAAATTAGTTTTATTTTAAAGATTGAATTTGTTTGGTATTAATCAGATCCTATCCTAACACAGGAGGTCTAAACAGAAAAAGACAAGATCATAGGTGCTGTGGCTCAAAAGTGGAACTGGGAAAAAATAAAAAAAATGAAACACACCAGCCTCATTTAACTTTACAGACATGATTTTCTCTTTTTAAATCTGAACCACTAATACTTTCCAGCATCAATTTTAGCCATTAGAAGTATTGAAAAGCTTTAAAATGTAACACTGATTTTATCTTTTCAAATATAGTTATTTGTTTTGTTGATTTTTTTTTTTAGATTCCTTAGAATGCTCTATTTTGAAAAAAGCATATGGTAGCATCTAAATCCACTGAGTGACGCAACATTGCAAATCGAAAGTCGACGCTTTGGACATGGCGCCCGTGTCGAAATAGTTCCAGAGCTCCACAGCCATGAAGTCGTCGTGGACTGATGTTCATGGTACACTGTGTTGAGTTCCTGTTAAGACGACGCGGGACGCTAGACATGTTTCCTCCAAAGTCACATCAGTCAAATTGCAAACGCAAGTTTTATCATGTTTTAATATGTTTGCGCAAAATAAAATCCAGTTCACGTCCATCTGCGACAAAACAGCTCAGTTTCTTGTCAACACTATTCAATAATAATCATTTTTAGTATCTGTACAGAATGCTGTTTTTGTTCGGACATCAGAAAGACGTGCTGTCCTGAAACCTACCAAGTGTTTTAATGATAACTTGATCAAAATAAAGTAAACGCCGCTTGTTTTGGTTAATGCGGGTCCATAAGGATAAGCAGTGGTGAGAACGCAAAGTTGGGGTCATGGACATGTTTTTGCGTATGTTGCATTAAACTGCATCGCTCTGCTGAAAACGTTGCTTACTTTCACACAGCGTACGTCAATTAAAGTCATCAATACGTCGTCCTTTAGATAATGCTGAAGCTACTCGGCAGACGTTAGCTGTCGTTTGTTTTTGTTTGTTTTAGATTGGTTTTGTTTTCTTTTAGCGTCTCGTCGATAAGGGTTGCATCCCAAACCAAAAACGGGACAGCTTATGTACGCCATATTTTCCCAACGCCTTCAAGCTTCCCATCGCCCTGTACCTAGGCTTCGAATGACGAAGAGATATGGAGGCTGAACATGCACGGAACTTTCAAAATGGCAACTTGGTAACATCCGGACAACCTGAAAAAAGGAAACATCGTCTGGAAACTTATCGGTACAGGACAGTGCACACCTACCTGGGCCAAAACAGAAGGGACCGGGCAGCATGGGATGCCAGCGTTTCGTCGACATCCATGAAGCGGCGAAGCGACGTGGCTGGACGCACACGTGGCTCAGATCAAACCAACCACCGGCCTCGGTCCTCACGCCATTCTGTCTCCCTCCACCCCCCTCACCCCCTACTCCTCCTATCCCATACAGTCTCTCCTCCCGAGTCCTCCATCTTTTAAAGATCCTCTCCACTTGGTTGTTGTCCATCCTCTCTGATTGCCCCCCTCTGAGTCCGTCCCCACGTTGCCATTCCTCTGGGTTTTTCCTCTCCTCGTCACAAGTACGTCTCATGTCTTCTTGAAAATCAAGCCTTTCCGAGACGTTTTCCAATTTGTATTTACTTTTACAAGCAGTGCACAGGAAAAAAACTCTCCTGATCTGTGGGGTACAATCTAGAAAAAAAAAAGCCTATAAAAATATATGTAGGTATGAAAAATGCTATAAATACTTTCTAGATTGTAAAGCTTATGCAGGTAAAGGAAAGGCAAAAGTAAAAGAGCAGCACTACTCTTCGCACCGTAACTCTTTTTTACAGTTTGAGAGCAGCACAGTGTGCATGCACAGTGGGGGGACAGAAGCATGAGAATGAGTCGGTGGGAAAAAAACTCCTATATAAATAAATAAGGGAAGGATGCCACTGTTGCTATACAGAGCGAGGGGCTTAGCAGTCTCCTGAAATCCTATTGGTCGTCCTGTTGCCATGTGCTCAGCAGTCAGCAGAGATGCTGCTAACAAATCAAGGAAATGTTCTAATATTAGACTGTATGTATCTAGGCAGCAGGAGCCCCTGACCTCTCAACTCCGCCAGCGTTACGTTCCACTTCACAGATCAGCATAATGAAAGAAGTGGTGTGGAAGTAACTGGTTAAAAAAATGTTACGGCACTGTAGACAAAACAGCAGACTCAACCCCTCCTCCACCCCGACTCCCTCCATGATATCCCAGCCAGTACAGTTACTGTAATAGACGGATGAGGAGAATTCCGATTCATCTTTCCTGTAGATTGGACATTTGTGACATGCAGATAAGATCTTAGCGTTTTGGTTCTCCGGACAATTTGCAGAACATTTAGCTTGTAAAATATTTTTGTTGTTGTTGAAATATCGTGTCGGTCCTGCTGTAGTAAACTAGGTCCATGCATTAAAAATTAAACAAGCTGTGACTGGTGAGCAAAGGAAAAGGTATTCATTTTTAAAGCATGCTGGGTAATCCTATGGCAATGTGTGCTTTTATTTACTCTATAACCTACAGTTGGTGTACATTTTATGAATAATATTTTGGCATAAATGTTCCCTGTTGTTGTTGTTAAGGTGCCTAATGCTGTCAGCAATACTAATCCCTCTAATCAGCTGATTTTACTTGTATCTTTGCACTGAGGCCGGCGCTTCTACCACTGTGTTTCCAACACATTCAACAGACCTGACAGCAATGGAAGTGACTGTCCCACGTTTTGTATTAATTTGTTCCAGGTCTTTATTAAATCTCTATGATGTTTATAGTATGTATGCACCATGTATATATGACTCTGTTGCTGCAGTAGGGTGAGGAGGGTTTGGGTTTTACTGTCTTTATTGTTGATGAATTCATATGGATGACTTATGCAAAGTGCTTTTATGTAATCATGCTGCATAATGATGCCTTTGACACTATTTGTAGGTTAACTGTAGTCTTGCAGTTGCATTTCCATGTTAAACTTAATACAATATAATATGTTTGGCTGATGGGTGTGTAAGAAACGTTTAAAATGATATATTTCAATTTTTTAATGACGTGCAAATAACACAAGTGCAAATATCCGTGTGTGAGACTCTGCATAGCGCATGGACGATGCAGGATTTCCAGAGATGTTCTGCCAAGTCATCAGACTGTTTTTTTTCTGCTGCTCTTCGCTGGAGGGATTCAAGTCATGCGACATAGTTTTCAGTTTTTCTTCTTTATAACCTCTTGTGTGCTTTGGATCGCGATCATGCTGCGATATTTACTGCAGAATGGGAGTCATCTTGTCAGCCAGTATTTTGGTCTCCACAGCTATTTATGGCGGCATCTATAAATGACCTCTCTGAAACACCTTTTGCAGTCATTTAGCCTCATGTCACCTCTGTGCTTCAGTGTTGGGACTATGCATTTACTGTGGCTGTTCTGAACAGGTTTGCACC